TGGTGCAACGATCAATTGATATTTTCTTATGTCAGAAGAAATATGCATTAGAGATGTTGCAAACGTTTAGAATGGATAAAAACACTTTTATGCAAATTCCTTAGTGTTAAACTCAAAGAATGAAATTGGTGTAAAAAGTGGATAAAACTTACTATAAATAAATTGTGGGAAGTCTTATGTATCTAACATCTACTTGATCTGATATGATGTTTGTGGTGAATTAATTCAACAAGTACATTAAGAATCCAACTAAGTTGCATTTACTAGCAGTCAAAAGGGTGTTGAAATACTTAAAAGGAGCAACTAAGTTTGAAATTCTCTACAAACAAAACAAAGAGTTTCTTGCTTACATTAACCGTAATTATGCAAGGGATTTGGATGATAGAAAAAGTACTTTAGGTTATGCCTATTGTGTTCAACTGCTATTTCTTGGTCATTGAAGAAACAACCAATTGTGAGTCTATTAACTACAAATGTTAAGTTTATAGGTGCAACATCGTGTGCTTATCAAACTATATGGTTGAAAAATGGTGTTGGAAAAATTGCATAAAATGCAAAACAAGGCTATTGTAGTCCATTGTGGTAGTAGTTCTACTATTTAGTATTAACCTGTCAAAAAGTCTAGTAATGCATGGTCATTGCAAATATATTGATGTTTGTTTTCATTTCCTTTATGATGTTACAAAGATAAGAACTCCTTTATGATGTTACAAAGATAAGAACTATCCAGATAGTGCATTGTGGGACACAAAAACAAGTAATTAATATTGTGACCAGTGACAAATCTTATTGGGAGATGGAAGGTCATGACCCTTTCAAAGTTTGATAACTTACATTAATATTTATGATTTTAACTCCTCATCCCAAACCTAATGATTATGAAATATACCTGTTTGTATATTTATAAATTTGACAACTCACCATTTTATATTTTTTTATCTTTATACATTCATTTATTATTTATTGATAATATGTTATTTGATGATATGAATATCAATTGTACAATGGGTGATTTAGGATCTTTAAGGTTAAAATCTTGTAGGAAATTTAGAAATTTAATGATAAAGTGGAAGGAAGAATCACTCCTCCCAAGGGAGGCAACTCACAAAGAATGTGAAAGTCCTTTGATACTGACCAATGATTCTTGAATCACTCAAGAATTTAGAAAAATCACTCTCACTAAGATAAAAGAGATAAACTCTAATATTTTTGAATAAAAATCCACTTGTTATTTCTGATAAAAATAGTTCAATTTATAAAGAAGTTTTGTCATCAGAGTTATAAAGATTCACTAAAGGAAAATAAATGCTAATAATGATCCATTAATACTTGAAAACTACTTAATGATTATGATTAATTGTAACTGAAATTGTGACAACCAAAAGTCAATCAACTATGCACCTTTTTGGTTTCCCAAAAGCTAATATCTAAGTTTCCAATTGAGCCGTTATTACAATTTTGAAATAAAATCAAACTAAAGTCATTAATTGATTAATCTAAAACATAGTTTGGTTAACTAATTTCACAAAGAATTGAGTCATTATTTAAATAGACTTAAAGACCGAAACAATTCCTTGAAATGTGGGCTAGACTTGTATTCAAATAATATGGATAATAATTGTTGAATAATTTTTTTTGTTTCTCTTATTCTATCCCTTGTTATAGGTCATATCTTCATCAAGTAATTGATAATGCATCGTGGAACACAAAAACTACGCAAGTGTTTAGAGTTTGATATGAACTGATTATGTATAAAATTCAATAGATTCAATTTAAAGAGGAATTGTAAATGGGTTATATGGTCCCATATTTTTAAGAATAATGTGTTTGAATTAGTCTATCATGTTATTAGGACATAATAGATCACAAATGTGATGATTTTTATTTTTCACTTTGTATGGTTATATATTGGTAAGATATAACTTTTTTTTTCAATAAACAAAGAGAGAATTCCTTCTTTCACGTTTTTATCTTTTACGCACATGGGAGAGTCCAACATATTAATTATAATATTTTGTTTCGTGAACAGATAAATATTATCTTATTATTAATTTGAGATACTCATAAAAGGTTCATCTGATCTTTATAGAAATCTAACGTATCACCGTTAATAATTTAGATAGATAACGACCTCTGTGAGATTTTATAGAAATCTAAAATATGCAAATACCATATTCCTCAATACGTAATAAATCAGTTTCTAGGTGAGATTTTATTTTCCAAATTTTCTTCTAAACATGCATACTATAAATATAATTATTTTATTCTTACATTTAACACATTACGTATCATGCAATCTGGACCTTATTATAAAATGTTAATAATTAAATTCATATAAATCAATTCAGGGAACAAGTCACCGTCACAATATAATTTATCTATTAGAGGTTAAAGAATTAAATACTATTTTTCTATATCATGTAATTTTTATTTTCAAAAAATCTAAAAAATAAAAATCTTACTGCTAAAAAAATTGATAAACAAATTAAATATCATAATATTTAGTCAGATTAAAAATAAAATTTACATAAGTTCACGTGTAAACTCTCAAATATATATACTCTAAAAAAGTAAATATTTTTTTATTAAAAAATCGGAACTATTAGAAGTATTTTTTTATTTTAAGAGTAATATATATTTGGATTTTAAAAAAATAGAAGAGAAGTGAGAAACATAAAAATAAATAAAATTAATAAATTTAAAAAGATGATGATTTGTAAAAAAAAAATTAAATTTTTTATTTTTAAATTTTTAACTTTATCAATAAAATTTTAAACTTTAACTCACATACATATCATAATAACCTTATCCAAGTTTCCACATATATTATTTGTTTAAAAAAATAGCTTCGATAAGAAAAAATATAAAAACTACAATTAATCTAAATTATAAATAATAATGATGTAATTTTATTATTAATCTTTCAATTAAAGAAAAAAAGCAAGACACAATTGTAAATATAATAAATTAAAAATAGAAATTAAAATTTTGCATAAACAAACATATATGTCTTTAAAACTTTTTATAAAGATTTTGTAAATTTTAAAACAAAGTATACCAAACAAGTTAAAAATCCTAAAGTATATATTTTTTTTATCGTATAAAACACATAAATTTTATTTATATAAAAAATACTTACAAATAAATTATATTTTACCCTCACTAACAAAACTTCATTAAAAAGCTTATGTCACTCCTAAGGAAATATTATGCCCTTCCCTCTTCACCTTTGTGAGAGCACCGGGATACTTTATTTTTATTTGTGGGGATAAGTTAATTTTTTTTTTAATTTATTTTTTCTAAGCATACTTTAATATCATTATGACTTTAATTGATTTTTATTTACAAATTTTTTATGTTTTCGCGAAATGTTAGTAAAAATTATAAGATATATTAGTCTCACATATTTAATATTTTTTTCTCAAAACCATTTTTTTAATAATCATTAGAGGATAGTATTTAAAACAATTAAAATATTTATTTAAATAATTTTAAATATTTCAAGTTTTTAAAAAGAACCATTTCAGATTTAATAATTTTTTATTATATTTATTTTTATTAAATTTTAAATAATGATATTTTGATAATTCATTCAATTATCTTATTAATATATTTTTATTGTTTCAAATTAATTATAAAATCTTCACTAATTTTATTTTAATTTTTTTTTCGAGTGTTAAAACAAATTTAGTCTGATAAACTAACCTAAAAGATTAAAAAAATATGTTAAATTAGACTAAAACAATTTATTTTAACTTGTGAGTTTAGATTAAACTTATAAGTGGATTTATTTTATAAAATAATAATAATTTTTAAATAAAAATAAAAAAAATATTATTTTATTAAATATATATATATATATATTATAAATTAATTTGACAAAATATTTATTTATTTTAAAAATAAATATTAAAATAAATCTCTCAAAATTATTTGTTTTAAAATCTAATTATTAGGATTAGTTATTATTTTGATATTGAATAAATACGTTCTCCTATTATTTATATATTAACTCATTATATTTTAAATAAAAATTAATTTTATTACTAAATCTAAAAATTTAAAAATATAATTTTATTTTTTATTTTTATTTAAATATTTTTTTACCCTTTTAACCAAACTTACTATTTCATTTTTCTTTATTTTCTTACTCACGTTCATTCCATAATTTAAACAAACCCTAGTATTCCAATTATAAGAGGAAGACCCAATACTTGTTTTGGCTCTCAATTGCCTTAATAATAGATATCTTCTATTTATCTAAGTAAATTTTTTGCCAAAATACAATTTTTATTTTGTTTTATTCGTAACTGTGATTATCTCATTTAGAATAAATTATTATTCTCAAAATTTAAAAAAAATGAAATTGTTATCAAATTCTTAATTATATATATAATTATTTTTGTGCCTTAAAGGAATATGTAAATATAAGTTAAAACATATGCACAACTAAAAATTGGATCAAATGTGTATTTTATTAAATGGAAGGATTAAATGTGTATTTAAAAAAAATATATTTATTAAGCAAATGCACTAACATTAAATTTACTTCCCGATAATGACGTGGAAAATAAATGCAATCGCCACGTGGAGATTGCCTATCTGTCTGACTTGAATAATCTGAACATCGTTTGTGATCCACCAAAACCACATCGGACATTGTGAAACTAAAATTCTCGTGGTTGTGGTGTTCATCCATTCACACAAACAAACACTTATCCAATTAATATTCAGAATTTCTAAGCTCATGCGAATCCTTTTTACGACCCTTTCATTTTCTGCACAGTTTTCTATCTTTCACAGCTTCCTACGTGTACGTGTGCCTTTTTCCACCTCTATTTTCTGAGGCAGCGAACGACAGCACACTCAAAAGATCAATTATTTTCTCTTGTTATCTCTCGGCATACTTCAAATTCTTTGTGGGTGTCTTTAACCGGAACAAAACAAACACAAATGAGCTTTCCCAAGTTGGTTTTCATTGCTTCGTGAGCACTACAACTATGTTGGAGTCTTTAGCTTGGTGTCAAAGCTTTAAGGTAACCTTTCTTCTAATGCATTTTTTTTTTTTTAATTTCGTTGGTTATCATTTTTGGGTTAGTTGGGTTTGATGGGTTTTGTTATTTGAGTCATGCATATATGAAGCTTCAAGAAAATTTCTTTTCCATCTTTTGTACATTTCCCTTCAAGAAATGTAGTAATTTTAATATAGAAATTGATGTTTAAACTTTGAAATTGTTGCTAAATCCAGTGCATATTCAAAATAATAGAGTCAATTCCTATTTCCCTTGAGAAGCCAGGAACTGAGATTGAATGTTGACCGTGTTAAACTTTAGTTTTTGAGATAAACCCAAGTCTTGCTCAGAGATTGTGTTTGCTTATAACGCTGTGGAACCTGTTACCTTAAAAGCCGTTTATGGGGATGAGTTAGGCCCAAAATGTAGGAGTAAATTAAGCTTCTTGTTGCATGATCTAATCCATATTCAGAACGTTGTGCCTGTTCTAATAGGTTTTTGCAATATTGTTTGATTCTCTGCAGGGATATGACCTTACCAAACAAAAGAGTCCGGGTTACTCTCATTCTATTTCACGAGTTTATAGAAACTCTATTTTTATGCTTTATGCACTCAACAAGAAAGTGCCACTACTGCCACATGGTGCTAGTCAGGGTATATTTCATGGGAGTTCTGTGTCAGAAAATTTCTTTAAAAAGTCTCCTCTCAATGTTCCATTAAGTTCTGGTTGGAAAGGATTGTATAGGCCGCGTTGGGAACGGCTGCAAACAAATGTAGCATATGATGTAGCTGGAGCTGTTGAAGTGATCAATGATTTAGGATTGGATACTCTTACTTTCTTGGCAGTGACCGTCATAATTGTGCCTACATTCAAGTCACTTAAAGCCAGTCCTGTAAGAAGATCTTGGAGTTTAGCGTTTCTTTCTTCTTTTTTCAAGTTATGGTCATGCAATTATGATAATCTATCATCTCAATAATCATAACCATCATTCATTGTCATGCAATGCTCTGTATTAGTTTAGTTAAATTCCTGCATTAGTTTAACCAGTTAAAATAGACGAAGCCGTTCTTTTGGTAAATGAGACAAACACAAGCATCAACATATGAAAACAATGCACAACTTAAGGTTTCATTATAATTTGAATCAGTATAGATTGGAGATTCTGCGATATACAGCAAGCTCAATATCTATTGTGATTCAGTTGTACTTATTATATACCAAAATAACTAATAAGAAATCTTAATATTCAACTTATTTTCACAGATATTGCTTTGGAGGTTGTGTATGAATTGATTCCCATCAGTTATCAATATTATGTGTTCTCATCATTGTACTTAATAGACAAACTTTGAAGGTAGTTTTACTATTTTATGAACTTAGGATTACAGTTCTATTGGCAGAAAAATCTAGATTTGTAGTTTAATTTGAAATTAATTGTTGTACTTAGAAATTAGTTTGAATCTATTATATTTAAATTGTAAAAAAACAAATGTAAAGCTACGTAATATTTATGAACATACATGTTGAATCTTACACATAATAGCGGAATTAAGCTTAGTGCTATCTATTTAATTTCTAATATTAATAATTGAAATTAATTTAATGGTTTTTCATTTTCAGATACTTGGTTTCTTCTGTGCTGGTGTGGTACTCAATCAGTTTGGTTTAATCAGAAACCTTACAGATGTTAAAGTTTTATCCGAATGGGGGATCCTTTTCTTGGTAAGATACGTGACCGCAGCTTCTCTTGTTATTGCTTTTTTCCCCATGTGTTTGTCTCCATCAAATCAAGCTTTGAAATTGTAATACATAAACATATTTTAGCCATATTATCACTCTATTTTGTGAAAACTAAAAATCCAAAACACCTAGATATTAGCCTCTTTTTTCATTACTCCATACCACATGAAAACAAATAATCCAAGTGAACGCCCCTAATATGTACTGTATTAGTTGCTTTTATTTTGTACACAGTAACTGAAACTCATAGGAATTAACCTTTTTTTTAAATTTCAACAATAACATTGTTTGATCCAAAGCACTTTTCTGTTCATATTTGTTGTATGGTATGTTTTCAAACATTTTGATATGATTGGAGGTTATGAAAGAACCTTCTATAAGCCTCAAACATAAATCTAATAACCTACATTATTTTTATGGTTATAAATCCTTGGTAAAATTTCTGATAAACGTGTTGTATAATTTCTCTGCAATAATGTTTGTTTCTTTTCAGCTGTTTGAGATGGGTTTAGAGCTTTCACTTGCACGTCTAAAAGCTCTTGCAAAATATGCTTTTGGGATGGGATTGGCTCAGGTATGACACTCTGGGAGAGAAAATGGGCACGCAAAGAAAAATTCTTAGGCCATTTCATTCATGTTATGCATCACTTAGCTTCAGCTATGTTAAAAGATTATATATTTATCGTAGATGATGACTTTTACCATTGATTTATTTTATTTAGTACTTTCTTGGAACGTTCTGATTTCTTGTTTAAAATTTATAGTTACATCTGGCTGATTTTGTCCTTATTTTAATTTTTATTTAAACACTTTTGAAGGTTTTACTGTCTACTTTAGCATTTACTGCTTTTGAGCTTCCTCCAAATGCAGCCGTTGGAACAAAAATTTTGGAATTCCTTTTCCACTCTAGGCCTGATCTGGTAAGGTTTCTATATCTAACAATTTTTCTTAGTTTCATATCTGTACCTTTTTGTTGATTATAAAACAGTCGTTCTGGTGAGAGATAGACAGAATGAACACAAACAGAGTACAGGAACTTTCCAATAAGAAATTTAATAGTGAAGATTTTAAATTTTGAGAAATTCTGGTGAGACATAGATGGACAGAATGCATTTGCATGCATATATAGTACAGACCCTTCTAAATGAGAACGTGCTATAGGCACTTCCTAAAATTTGAGCCTTTAGGAAGTGGCTCGCACCTCCTGTACATTCTACAAGGTCCTAGTTGACCAGATACTGGATAATCCTTTATTTTCTAAAGTAGTTATTAGAATCTATGAGGTTTTGCTTTTGTCAGCATTTGCTTGGCTTATCCATGTAGCCAGTCTCACCTAGTAGGACATGAACTATGAAAATCATTCCTTACTGCCCCTATTTGATTAAATTATAGTTTCAGCTCAAAGTCAAGTTGCGAGGTGTTTTCTCTGCACTTAAATGTCTTTTTTATTGGGGGCATGTTTCACATAAAAGCATCTGTAGACCTACATCTAACAGCTTAATATTTTGAGATGATTGTTTACTTATAAAGATAATTATGCCTAGATATGAAAAGGTATAATGTCAATAAAACTTGAAGAGGCTGCGTTGATTTAATTTTTAATTTACTTTGAATTCCTATTCATAGGTGAACATAAGAAGTGTCGATGAAGCTGTAGTGATTGGTGCTGCTCTCTCTCTGTCATCTTCTGCATTTGTTCTACAGGTATTTGTTTATATATTTCTGCACCTTGTTTGCACAACAGACATGATGTTGATGCTGATGTATCTATAGTACCTTGAGTGGTATCTATACTAGTTATACTTATATTTCTCTTTATTGGTATATCAATAATTTTACCTTGATGTATCAATATCACCTGTTTTGACTTATGCGACTAATACTTTTCGCTAATACTTTTACTTTTCATATTTACAATAAATAGGAAACATTTTAATTCATTCAAGAAAAAAAAGAATGCATGTGACTAACAAAAATCAATATAATTTCATTACTTTTGAAAGATCTGAGGAAAGCTGAAGAATTTTAATTTGATACTGACAAACTCATTCTTGCTTCTATTCAATAAGGTATTCACATTCCAACACAGTATGTATGTTTTGGAGAAAAGTCTTAATGGAAAAGCTTATGGTCGTTATTTTTGTATATATATATATATAATTTATTTATTTTTTCTAACTAAGTCGTTCTCCTCCAGTAGCCCTGCCACATCATGTTTCTCCTTTTGCTTCTAGTATGCAATATCTTGGTTTGTAAACTTCTTTGTCCAGCCTTGTCTATTGATCTGCTATTATGTATATATTTGTAGCTTCTTGCGGAGAAAGGTGAGCTTCCTACAAGATTTGGTTCGGCAACTCTTGGAATACTTCTTTTGCAGGTTTTTGTCTTAAACTCTTTCATGGTTACATTCTCGTTCTCCAAGTATGCAATTTTATATAAAAAAAGATGTGGTTGTTATGACTCATCTTGTATGAATTTACCTGTTGATATCTTCTGATGTTGTAGATTGATAATAAGATATCAGTAAAGAAATTTTTTGATATAATTAACTTTGTTCCTTTCTTCTGCTTACTATTCCAGGACTTAGCCGTTGTACCTCTTTTAGTCATACTTCCAATACTAGAGAGCCAGGTGAGATGCGACTATAAGTAATATCCATATTGTCTTTCTTCTGTCTTCTTTATCGTGCTCTGAGTTATGGTTAACATTGTCTAGTCGTCAACTATCTTGTGGTCCATCTACCACTTTGACATACATGCAAATTGCATTTGCTTGACGATGATTTAAACTATTTGTAATTGTTAGACTTATAATATATAATAGTGTATGAGCCCATTTATTCTAGCTATAATTAGTATATGGGCAGGGATCATGTACATAACAATTGCAAAATACTTGTACTCATCTCAATCTGAATACACAATACAATAGTTGGAAACCTAATAAAGCTAACATATCTGTTCTTCAAAATTCCATGTGCTGTGTGCTGTGTGGGGGGAGATAATAAAACAAGCCACAAAGGCCATTGGTGGTGCACTGTTAGTTATTAAAATGTTTATGAGCCTCTACCTAACAACCTAAAACGAGTTGATTCCTTATGTAGTATTAGTGTGATCAAGTGATCTGATAGAACTAGTATCAAAACAGTGACAAAGAAAGGGTTTTTTATTGAATGAAGCCAAGGAGAGCCCCCTAGGAACCAATACACTGCTCCAGATCTTTATGGGTAGCTATTGGTCTACTAAAATATACACTGCTCCACACCTCTTCACTTTCCCCAAAAATTTTGTGTGTAGATTGTTTTTATACTTAACTAGTAAAAACATTTCTCTATGTGTGTCTGCATGTATGTGTTTGTGTATGTGTGCACATCTTGTTACAGTAATGTGCTAGTTATGTTCTTCATGGTAAGTTTGTCCTTTTGTATTCTTTTGCACTTACGGTAAATTTGAGGTTAACAATTATGTATGTTGCATGATGGTTATAGTTCCTTTAATAAACTAATATGATAATTTGATAATCAGATGCATAACTTTTGCATTCATTCTTCATCCTGTGCTTTCTAGAATATATCCGAAGGGAGTATTTGGCCCATGCTTGCTCAAGAAAGTTTAAAGGCATTAGGTGGATTGGGTCTGCTTTCTCTCGGGGCAAAGTACATTCTCAGAAGAGTTTTTGAGGTCTGTATCAAATATATTTTAAGAAAGATTTTTATCCAAAAAATAAAATTCATCCAAACTCATTTTTTATATGTTCTAGGCAGTAAACTCTTGGTCAAATTTAGGTTGTTGCAGATACAAGGAGCTCAGAGGCTTTTGTTGCTCTTTGCTTGCTGACAATTGCTGGGACTTCACTAGGCACACAGAATTTGGGCTTTAGTGACACGGTGCTGTAATTTTTAATGCTTAGGATTCTTAGTTTGAGATTTTGGAGAATCATTAAATTGAATACTAACTGTATGTAATATCATAATACAGCTCGGTGCTTTTTTAGCTGGGGCTATTTTAGCAGAGACAAACTTCAGGACCCAGATTGAAGCTGACATAAGACCATTTAGAGGCTTGCTGCTTGGATTGTTTTTTCTAACTACGGGAACTTCAATTGATATGCAGGTTAATATGAATATCATTTATGATACGTGTAGCATGATTTTTTGTATTTCTAAGCGTGGTTATTATGTTAATTTGACGGTTGTGTCTGCATATATGCTAACTTTGATTATCAGATTCATCAATCTAATTTAATCAGAGGCCCAAGATTTTGATCACCTGTGATTTAACATTCTAGTAATATACTTGAGCTGTATTTGGATAAATTCAAATACTGTAGTAAATAGTATTTGCCTTGGGTTATCTTGAAGTGAGGACACTAACCTACCATCTCACGCACACATCCGTTGTGTTCTTCTATTAAAACCAGTCCTTGTTTGAGTGAAATATAAGTGATTATATGTTTTCATGCAATTGGATCCATGAATTTATGAAGTTTAATGAATAGACTTTGTTAGATACATAAATTAATGAATATAAATCTTTGATAGCTTTCTGATTGCATGAAATTATGATATTTACACATCATCCACTGTTAAACTACAAATGTATTTTTCACTTTATAATTATTATTTTTGTTGCAGCTCCTTTTACGAGAGTGGCCAAATGTGCTTTCCCTCTTGGGAGGTTTAATTGTTATAAAGACATTGATAATAACTGCAATTGGTCCTCGTGTTGGGCTTACTTTACAAGAGAGTGTAAGAATAGGATTGCTCCTATCCCAAGGAGGCGAGTTTGGATTTGTAGTTTTCTCTTTAGCAAATAGGTACGTAATTATCTAATGTGATGCATCGATGTTATTTGCCGGACACTTGGGATTGCTTTAGTTATAAAAAATTGTTGCTTCTTGTAACAGGCTTGGAGTGCTTCCTCTTGAGCTCAATAAGCTGCTCATAATTGTTGTTGTATTGTCAATGGCATTAACCCCATTTCTGAATGAAGCTGGAAGAAGGGCTGCTAGTTTTATTGAAGAAAAATCTAATGCTGATAATGTATGTCTTTTTCTGTAAGATTTACAATTTTGGCAGTTATGTGCACTTGGACACACACACATGTGCATGCATATAAGGATTGCAAGTAGCAAAGATGTATTATTGGTGTATTTGAGAAAAAAATGTCATACATAAGAAATGTAATTAAAAAATACTAGAAAATTCACATGCCGTATTAAGTATGTCCCTTTGGCACAAAATCCATTCTCTCTGGATTTTATGCTTCAAGTCATTAATTTTTTTCAATTATTATTCTTTTATCTACTTAATGTGTTATAGCAGAAACTATGAGACGTAAAAATATAGTAAAACTTTTTCTTCAAGATATGTGTGACAATCATGCCAGTGATTTCATTTTAACTGCAAGTGTACATTAAGTACAAAATTATTTGCAGAATCAAAAAGCTTCAGAGACAGTTAACTTCAACGTTAGTGAACCTGTTGTTATCCTTGGATTTGGACAAATGGGCCAGGTAGATCGATAAATACATTGTGAAACCTGTCATTTGTATTACTTACTCATTTCTAAAATTTCTCCTTGTGTTCTATATTTAAAGGTCCTTGCCAATTTCCTGTCCAATCCATTAGCTTCAGGAGGAGATAGTGATGAAGTAGGATGGCCTTATGTGGCATTTGATCTGGACCCCACTGTCGTAAAGGTCTGTATTTGAGCATTCTACATGGCTATTTTCTATCAGTATCTTCATGAGACCCTTTTCATTTCATTTTCCGAGGAATTGTTTGAAATTCTTGAGTAGAGATCTGCTGTTTAGAATATATGCAATGATTACATGTTGAGACATTCTCTCTGATGCCTTATATGAAGCATGGAATAGAAAGATAAGCTTCTTTATATGGACAAATTCCCTATTTATATTGATGCCTGATGCACAGTTTTCTCTTTTAAAAAGTAAAATTTCACATATCTTGTGAATGGCATGATACGCAACTATATATGTTCCAATTTAGTGTTCACTCATCAATCATTCACGTCTCTTTGTTCTTATCTTTCTTTGTCTTTATTTTATTAAGAGAATGAAAGCATTATTTCATGTCATTTCTTACCATTCGTATGCAATCCCTTTTATCCATCTTTCTTTTAATTTATTCTCTTATGTTTAACTTCTGGACAGACTGCTAGAAATATTGGCTTTCCTATACTATATGGGGATGGATCACGTCCAGATGTTCTTGAATCTGCTGGTGTCTCTTCTCCAAAAGCTTTCATGATTATGTACACCGGGAAGAAGAAGACAATTGATGCTGTTCAGAGGCTAAGATTGACTTTTCCTGCGGTAATAATCTGTTATCCCCCCACCCTACCCTCACTGCTGCCCATTCCTTCTTATCTTAATTGGTTGTGTGAGAACATGTATTTGCGCAAGAGGGTGTTAGAAATAGTTAAATATATGGGCCCAAAACCATCTCTTTGTACCATGAAATCTATATATATTTATTCCTCTGCTAAGCATAATATACACAAGGATTTTATTCACATGTCTCTCTACCATTTACTTTAACAATGGAAAATAACGAGTTTCTATAATTGAAAGTAACAATGATCTAATGGTGTGATTAGCTTAGTTTCAATTTGTTTATAAAATGAATGGTGATAGTCTCCAATGTGTATCTTAAGAAGCTTCAAAAAGATAATTATGTAATTGAAGATCTCTTGCATAAATCATACCTCAAACGTTACACACACACACACACACCAAAATTATAAGCAGAAGCAAAGGGTATCTGATACACTAGGGCTCGTACTGCTTGTCAGGTGTTTATAAAATGTAACTTAGCTGATAAAATTTGTTGTTTCATATCTTCCTTTAATCCTGCTCTCTTCTCTCTTGGTTTAATTGTATACTTAGTGATGAAATTCCTCAGATCCCAATCTATGCCAGAGCTCGTGATCTGAAGCATCTATTAGATCTGAAAAAGGCAGGTGCAACAGATGCCATTTTGGAAAATGCAGAGGTAGTGCGAAAAAGTTTTTTCCCTTCCCTGATGCTTGGAAAGGAAACTGGTGCTAAATATTTTCTTCTTGCAGACTAGCTTGCACCTGGGTTCTAAGCTGCTGAAAGGCCTTGGTGTAATGTCTGATGATGTAGCATTTTTGAGTCAGCTTATTAGAGATTCCATGGAGCTCCAAGCTCAAGAAGTAATCAGCCAATCCGAAAATCGTGGAATAGATATTATGAGACCGCTGCAGGTACCTAAAAACAATGACTTGGGTTGACTAAATGCTAAAATATGGTTGTGTAAGAGTTGTCTTGAATTTATCTGAATTTGATAGGATATCTAACAAAAATTATGGAGGCAAGAGTGTAACGAATAATAAGTTAAAATTTGGTACTTGATTAATTGGGTTGATGTTGCTTTTCATGGATGGTTTCCTTCCTCATGCTTGACTGTAGCATGGCCACAAACTCCTGATTTTTCATTTTGAAAGTTATGTTCCCCTATGTTTCTCCGTTGCATTATAAAGATGTTTGGGCTAAGAAAGTGGTTGATTACATTGTTCTTGACATTATTTTTTCTCCATATGCATGTAATTTTTATAATTGGTTTCTCGTCAATTACTAGTATTTGTTTCTTTACCCTCTAAAGTGAGTTGGTTACTTTATAGAGACCAACTCCTTATTTTCTACATGGCTTATTAATTTACTTCCAAGGAAATCAAATTATCTTTGATTAACTAGATTTCAAGATAACTTTCACTATGTCCCCATTTTTTAATTTGTTCTTTTTCATTTCTATGGATGCTATTGCTGTGATAGAAACTTGTATAACAAGAAACTGATGTGTCTGTAATGTTAGGTGAAAGCTTCTGACTTGAGGGAAGCACGTGTTCCGGTGGCAACAACTTCACCAGAATCTGAATTATCAGAAATGAATCAGAAAGATCAAGCTTCATCAGTTAGAAATCAAAGGGAAGTAGATCCAGAAGAACAAGAACATGAACATAATGAAGCTGTGAAATTTGAAGGAAATGGTGTTTTACTTAGCACACAAAGTATTGAAGAAAGCTCAGTGGTTGGTGACCCATCAACCCCTTCTTCCCATACTGCTACTGAGGAACCCTGAGCAAGGTTCCTCCTCCCTTTTATTTTGCTCCTCTAACCCGAATAACTTCTGAAAGATTTCAAGAAGTTTTCATTTTCATTGCAGAGCTAACAATATATGTATAGGAAACATCCCATTTCAAGAGAGTTTGGAGATCAGCATCATTCCAACTCTGATGCTCATTTCAATTCTTTTGACAGCCACAAATGTATAGTGATTTAACACCTTTTAAATAATTTTTATTTCATGTGGGAAGTCATAAACAGCTCAAGGTGACATAAAACTGTAGAGTTCAAAATGTAGCAACTCACACTTAGATTGATGGCATGTGAAGTATTTATTTGTGGCATGATCCTGCATCATGATTCATATCATTTCTGCAGTACAGTAGTAATAAACTTCAGAAAAAAACAAAAAACTTCCTACTTGTTAAAATTATTTAGTACTGTTCATAAAATAAGTTCAATGTCAGTTCTTCCCTTTATAGAGAATCTTTTGACTGAGCATATCCAATTTGCATGTCACATGCCAAGTTTAAACTAATGTATTGCTTTTGCTTTTTGTCGTAACTTGTTCAAATGATAAAAAAAATCTGACAAACAAGTTGATGTGTAATTTTGGTAAATCACATAATGCACAGAATCCTTTTGCAACTGTGACTTTCATGACATGAAATCAGCCACCAAAATGCTTTAACATAATTCGTATTCTGTCATGATAAGAAATATGATATTATCGTGCTGATTAAGAAAAAATCATTTAACAATATAATTTCTAATCATAAAAGGCTTTTTATTCCCCTTCTCAAACTTAGTAAATCATATTCTCAAAATAATTGTATTAATTAATTAATAAATAAAATGATAACTTATATTTCACTTTCCATAAGCTAGCAAAACTATTTAGGCCATGTATATAATAAATAAGTTTGTTACTTCTTCTATTCACTTTATAATTAATTAATTTTTTAAGTTAAAAAATCAACTTAACTTTTATAGAAGCTATTTAATTTAATTTAATTTCTTTAAAAATTAATGAGTGTAATTAATTTTAACTTTTAATGGGTACAAATTTTAACTTATGTTATGGACTTTCACCGTTTTACTCTTACCATAATTTAATAATCTAAATCTTGTTTTGAAGTTCAATTTTCAGTCATCAACCACTAGCATTATTATCATTTAAAAAATGTAGCCGTTTTAATTTTTCATTTTTTTATTACCAGAAGAATATACAGAAGAGGAGATTATGCCAAAATAAATACATATATATTTTTTTACAGAAATTTTTTAAAAAAATTATATGCATATATTTTTTACATATGAAACATCCATATATTTTTTTTATACACTCATATTTTATATATAAATATAAAAATATAAATAATAAAATATCAAATATTAATAATATCTCAATCATAATTACTTAAATAATAATAACTTAAATAATAATAATAATCTAATATTTTTTTATTTTAAAAAATAATAAAAACTTTTAAAAAACTTAATTTAAATAAAAACAATAAAATAATATTTTTCAATTCTTTTCTTTCTTTATAAAACTCAGACAAGTTCTTATTTTCAAAACTCAATCACTTTTAATAGAAAAAGTGGTTAAGTATTAAAAATATTAAAAAAATGAGCTTCAAAATCTCGAGGTTTCAGTGAAGTATTCAAAAATAATTTCCTTCAACCTTACAATTTTCCGAAGTTTAAGAAAACATGGGACCAGAGAAGAAGAGAGAGTGAGCTGGATAAGGATTCAGAATCGTCGTGAACTTCTATTTTCGTTAACCATAAAAAACAAATCCCCATTTCTCAGCAATTCTGTTTATTTTATAACGAGGAGAAGGGTGACCTTATCACGGTGTTGAAACTTCTAAACCAAGAAGAAGAAGACGAAGAAGAGAACTTGGTAGTGTGATGGAAGAAGAGCAACGCCACTTCTATCTCTTTGACCATTGTTCTTATTCCTTCCACTTCCTTCCAATTTCTAATTTATAATAAGAGGGCCATTGTTAAACTATATAATATATTGTTGTATTACATATTATATATTATATTGGTATGGAGCCACAAAAGAAACATGAAGGAAAGCCCGAGTCCTCTTCTTCTTCTTCTCAGCCTCAACCTACTTTGGCACCAGACATGGACACCAAGTCCACAATGATTCCCACAACTTCATGGTTTACACCAAAGAGGTAATTTTAAACTTTTAATTTTTTAGTTAGTAGATCTGTGCCGGGAAAAAGATGTGGGTATGATAATGTGACGTGGAGGGGGAGTAAGTCTGAGTTTTTTTTTTCTCTTTTTAATTTTTGTTGATTAAACGTGGGGAGCATTTTTTACCACGAAGTGTATTTGGGGTGTTGTTGCGACATTTTTTTATTGTTGGTGGTGGATTTGAGTTGTTGGTTGTCGTATTATTCATGTTTGATCAATATAGGTGTAGATTAAGTTGAAATTTTAAAATTCAATTCTTTTGTGTGTTTGAAAAATTCTTGATCTGCTGAATCTTGTTCTGTAGGTTGTTGGCTATATTTTGTGTGATTAACTTGTTAAACTATTTGGACCGGGGAGCAATAGCAAGCAATGGTGTTAATGGAAGTCAAGGAACTTGTGAAGGTGGCACCTGCAAATCTGGAACCGGAATACAGTAAGTGTAAGATATAATAGGATCTTTGGCATAAATAGTGAAAATAATTAAACATAAAGTTTGATATTATATTTAAGATGGTAAATTAAATGTATATGCAGCAAGTTAACTGTTGCCTATAACAGCTTTTCCTTCTGTTTTGTGCCATGAAGCTGTATTCTATGTGGAGCATTATATTTTCATAGCTTAGTAATTGTATTCTTGGCTACATCGTTTTCTCCTTCCATACAGGGGGGACTTTAAATTGAACAATTTTCAGGATGGAGTTCTATCGTCTGCTTTTATGGTTGGGCTTCTTGTGTCTTCTCCAATATTTGCTTCTCTAGCAAAGAGGTAATGACTGTTTGTGTCTAAATACTTGTTACATATTTCTTCTTTGATACCGTTAATAAGCTAGGCACATAGTTTGGTGATTAAATCTTAATATTAATATATCCTTATACTGGATAGACTTTGTCTTTGTGTTGGTAACAGGGACAGTAGGGAGAGTGAAAAACGGTAAAGTGACCATCTTAAATGTACATTTAATCAAAACTCGTTGATGACCTTAAAGACATTCGCATAAAATATTACTTTCCCTGATGATTGAGAGATATTTTACAATTTTTCATTTGATATGTATATTTGGGGTTCCACACGTATACCATATGCCCACATAGATGCCACAAAGTAAAGTGGGGAGGGGGACACAAAAAATTGTTTTACGTCATTTTTTGTACTCCACTTTCTATTGGGCTTAATATGTGTGAAGTTCCTTTGGCATTATGGGGATCAAAATAAATCATCTACTTGAGACTAGTTAGTGAGTTTTCCTACTCAATCATCCAGCTTTGAGCTTATCCTACTTAAGACTCAGGGATGCTGACAGTCTCTGGTTTTTATCTTGTCTATATAACTACAGAGTTATTATGGTTAAAGGATTAGCATACTGATAACCAATTTGTGATGTACACATTTAAGTCCAAGCATAAATGCTGCTAATATTTTTAGTTTAGTTTTCTTGAAGTATACATCAGCAACTACTTGTTTGGTTGTTGGATTCTTTTAGCTTTATATAAGTTAAATATTCAACCTCTAATGCTTCAGAAGATATTTTGTCAATTCATGAAATTCTGAAAACAGAACAAGCTTTTGAACAACCACTGATCTGTTGTTATATTGAAGTTCAGAAAATCCCCTTGGTTTGACTTTTTATTTTTGAAGTTAGTGACTGCATATGTCTCTAATGTTTTGCAACATATATTTAACCACACTCATAAAATTAAACTACCCATTGTTTAGCCCTATTTTCTATTAAAGTTAGGTTTCCTATGTTTTTTGGCATAGTCATCTAATAATGATAGTTTCTGACCTCTGTTGTTCAAACCCACTATTGTTTATATAATTTGTAATTGCTATCATTGGCTTAAATAAATATTTAATCATTATATAATTCTTATATTTTGCAGTGTAAACCCATTTAGACTTATTGGAGTTGGATTATCCATTTGGACTCTTGCAACCTTGTGTTGTGGTTTCTCTTTCAATTTCTGGTCCATTGCAGCCTGTCGCATGTAAGCGTCTTCCATTATATTTTGAACTCCATGGTTTTTGTATTAAATACATACATAATATAGTAACGATGCAAGAGTAATCTTTTTAGTTTCCTTATATATTCATATTTCTTTACAGGCTAGTTGGTATTGGTGAGGCTTCATTTATAAGTCTTGCAGCACCTTTCATTGATGACAATGCCCCAATTTCAAAGGTTTGTTTCTGTCCCTGGTAATCATCTTACAATGTTTCTATTGTCTATTATGCTCATGTTTAGCCATGTCAGCTTCATTACTGAACTCTGAAGTAATTGGATCCTGGTTCAATTGAAGCTCCATGTACTAATATGATGTTAATATATGTTATCTTCAGTATAAATGCCTTTTAAATCGTGATGCTATATGCTTTCTACAATTACATTTTGTATTCAATTCTTAAAATTATACATTAACAAATTAGAATATTTGCTTTAACATGCTGTTAGTGGTTTTCATTGGTGGTCCATTTTGGAAAAACCATCACTATCCAATAACTGGCTTTTGTGGCTAAATGAAACAAATACTATTTCCAGCTTTTTAATATTAAAGCTAGCACTGTATATCAAACCAACTGGCTAAATTTGTTTTTGTCTTATAATGTTATTGTTCAGATATATAGTGGAGAGTCAAATGAAAATCTCTGTTTGTTTTATACACAACCATTAATGTGGAATATTAGTTTTTAATCATTACAGAGACTTGATCTACATTAGTTGTATGCTTGCTTCCTTTCAACATTTTAATAGTTTATAGATAGATATATATCTGATAAAACTAACTGACATTTTCCTTACCCTTCTTGGTACTTGAAATGTTTTATGTCATTGTGATTGTTATATGTTTTCTTTATGGTGGAAACCTATCTAACATTGGTGCATGTGTCAGAAAACGGTGTGGCTTGGTACATTTTACATGTGTATACCAGCAGGATATGCAGTTGGCTATGTCTATGGTGGTTTGGTACGATTTCCTTTGATTTTATTGCCAGTTTTAAACTGTAGTTGTAATAACGTATGTATGTAGGAAATATATAATTTTAATAATATATATATATATATATATATATATATATATATATATATATATATATATATATATATAGATAGATAGATAGATAGATGCATACATAGGTACATAGATGGATAGATTGACAGCATAGTTCCCTAACTAAACTTGAAAACTGAATAAATGTTTAATATAAGAAAAATTTTAAACTTGAAAGTCCTTAAAGGTAGTGTACAAGTAGTCAATTGATAATAAATCTGGAATGACAATTGTCTCCTCCCCTTCCATTACAATAGAAACCAAATGTTGGTCCTGGATGTAGGTAAAGGAAATATTTTGCAGTATCAGTACTTGTGCTTTAGCAACAATCTGGTATATCTTCTTTTTTCTTTCACTTGCTTATAAATTGGTTTTTCTTATTTTATCATTTCATTGTTATAAACAGGTTGGAAGTCATCTTAGTTGGCGATATGCATTTTGGGTGGAAGCTATATTGATGTTTCCGTTCGCTGTTTTGGGATTTGTTATGAAGCCTTTGCAATTGAAAGGTGCACAGTTTTTTCCTGCATTGAATTCCTGTAGTTCCCTAACATTGTTTCCCATCACTGAACTACTTGTGCATCCAGGTTTTGCCCCTACTGATTCAGGCAAGGCACCGGCACTTGAGACAGCTGTCTCAGAAATTCAAGGTACGATTTTGTTTGAGTTGCGCTACATAGCCAAAGAAATTCCTCTATTTTGAGAAGAGTATTTGCTAGAATTGCATCTAATACAAATTTATGTTGATGAAAGTTTCACAAAGAAAGAGTAATGTTAATGTAGACTGTTCATGATGGATGAGTACCATTGAATATAATTTTAAATTTAATAATAATAGAATAGATATATGAAATTAGCTATTAAGGGCAAAAGAAAAAATCAAACGCTTACATACTTCATCTAGCATCCCATACAACTCAATGTGGGGCTTAAGCATCCCATAATACCTAAGTTCCAATTATAGCACCACCACTAAGAGTTGACGTCTTGATGGCCGTGATACCATTTAATAAGTACCCAAACACTTAAGTTACCTCTAAGACTCAACTCTGACTAATATTCTTTAGTTCACTAAAGTTTATGTTTCCATTTTATTGGTTTGCTTCTGATTCACAATATCTTTTGTTTTAACAAAATTCACTTGTTTGATCGATGAAAAGATGTGGATGCTTCAAATGGAAGAGATAAAAGCACGCAGGAACCTTCCAGGTGTGAATAATATCCCTATCCTTGATTTATTGGGTGGTGTTATTATAGAGTATATGACCTATTGGCCATTATTGTGCCTATGGAGGCATTTTTGTCCTCTTTATTGAGGATAAAATTTTCTTCCTCCACCTGAAATGATTATGCCACCATCATTTACTATTTCTTTTCCCTCTATTGGTTGTATGTGTCTGATATCACTGACTGACCAATGTACATAAAATTATATTTCGTTCATACCTGTCTTTTTTAGGCAAAACTATGCAACCAAAATATTAGGTCAGTTCTCAAGATTTCTGAAAGACTTGAAAGAACTTTTTCTTGACAAGGTCTTTGTCGTCAATGTTCTAGGTACTTCTTCCTCCTACTAATGTACTATGTGCATCTACTTGTTTCTTGTGATCTCATTTGTGTTACTTAATTCATCTTATAAGCTGCTGTATACCATATTTCTTTGCAAATTTCATGTATTAATCTCCTCTTCCTATATTACACCATGTTCAATAATTATACTGTTTTGCCATATCTCCATTTAATTATTTTGGATGAATGTCCATTTGCAGGTTACATAGCATACAACTTTGTAATAGGTGCTTACTCGTATTGGGGCCCCAAAGCTGGTTATAGTATATATCACATGGTGTGATTTTATTTCTTCGTATGAAAACAGCTATACATAAGATTCTATTAACATGGTTGTTCCTTCTTTCTGTTGTATCTTCTTACTTACTTAAAGTAAGTACGCACCAGTAATTTTAAAATTTGCAGGTGAATGCAATATTATTGCCGTACTATTATTATACTAAACAATTGTATTAAGAATAATTTACTTTCGCAGACTAATGCAGATATGATGTTTGGAGGAGTTACTGTTGTATGTGGAATATTGGGCACCTTAGGAGGAGGCTTTGCTCTTGATTACATAAATAGTACAATATCAAATGCATTTAAGGTTTGTATTTGAATTCAGAGAATAGTTTCGAGCATTTTTGCCTAAACTGCTCTGCCAGAGTCGTTGTCCCTAACACACTGCAATCATCTAAGTATTAGATGACCTCGTTTTAGTAATTGACCAAAAAGAGTGGGACATTACCTCATTAAAATCTTCTGCACTAGATTGCAGTAAGAGGTTAGGCGTATATGTTGTTGTATATGAATAGGAATATTTGTTTTCAGTCTCATTATCTGAAGATTCATATATCATGGTTTCAGTTTTGAAATTATGTTCCTGTGTAAAAAGTAACTTTTTTTATAAAATATGGGAACTCTTTTTTCAAAGTCTGCTGTGGGTAAATCTCATTTATCGATTATTTAAAATGTTTACCTGGCAAAAAAAAGAAGAAGACATATTTTAGTGTTTTTTTGGTCATGCTTACTGATTTCTTTTGTGATCTCCACATAACACTCATCAGATTCTCAGAAATTTCGATGCTCTTTTCTGAACATTTTCAATTCTCTTGCAGCTTCTATCATTGACAACACTTGTTGGTGGTGCATGTTGTTTTGGTGCTTTCTTACTTAGAAGCGAGTATGCCTTCCTAGCTCTTTTTGCTGTTGGTGAACTACTTGTTTTTGCCACTCAGGTACATCACTTCTCTCTGAGGATTTCTTCATATTTGCATTTGTATGTATGACATGCTAAACTATATAGATTCTTATCATCTCAGGAGGCATTTGTTTCCTTGAATCTTTTTTGCATTTCCCAGAAAATGAAAGTGGGAATGTTTATTCCTATGTTTTAGTAGAAGTACAAAAAACATTTTTAGATGTGTTTTATTCCTAGGAAAGTTATATCCTAACTGTACAGATTTTACTATCGTATTAAGGGTATGGGTAAGTTATATTCCCTTGGGAATAAAGGACGTTATTTTCTAAACTCTATTATAACCTCCAATCGTTTACTTCTTTATTTTCATTAATTTTAGAATGTAAAAAAATATTCTCAAGAATATAAAAACTTAACCTAACGTATTTTTAAATATATCTAGGAATAAATATTTATCACAAAATATTACCGTGAATATAAAATCATAATCTGAAAAAACGCCCCTTTAGTATTTCAACTACCATGTTGGGAAGTTAAACGCAAACTTGTTCTTCCAAACCACAGTGTGCTTGGATGATGAATGTATAACCACTTTTGGGTATAATTGTATGTTAAAATAATCAAATTTAGATAATGAGTTTTTTGCTCAATGCAAATGGAGTTTTTTGGGGTTAATGCTAAATTAGTTGAGTATGAAATAAATATTAACGAAACTTTATTAAAAAATAATTTAAAACATTATCAAGAACTAAAACAAAACCATTATCTTGGAAAAACCATGTAAAATGTCTGGAGTATAGATTTTGGTCGAAGGGATGTCTGGCTCAATCACACTTCATGAGGTGCAAAATGAATTCTGCTCCGAAGCTGACCAAACATAAACTTGGCACCAAAAAAATGATGGTTCTCAGTGCAAACAGTCATTGCACAGTGAAGACATGGTGCATATGAAGTTCCAAACTCTCTTTGTTGTACTTGTTTTCAGAGTCGTTCTTTTTTATCCATTCTTCTCTTTTATCTATTGGTTAGTATACATTTCATGTTTCTTTAACATGATGCCTTAAAAGATCATTTTTTTTGTATGGAAATGGAATAGAGTTTATAGATAGTTTATGATCATTAGAACTCATGAAACAATTGCTTCTCACTTTTTTAATTTTACCTTATAATTTTGCTTTTTAGGCTCCTGTGAATTATGTATGTCTCCATTGTGTTAAACCAAGTTTGAGGCCTCTGTCTATGGCTTTTTCAACTATTGCTATTCATATCTTTGGAGATGTACCTTCCTCACCTCTTGTTGGAGTTATTCAGGTTAGCTTCTTTTGTTTTTTTAAGTTGAATTCATTACAATCTTTAGGCAAAATAGTTACTTTTCCACAAAAATGGCAATTGTACATCAATTACCAGAGGGATGGATATTGGAACATGTAGGAAGAGAAAATAATGTATTTAATCATAAACATTGTACAATATGGATGTTCAATAAATATTGATAATGCAGGATAAAATTAAGAACTGGAGATTGACTGCGTTGATTCTTACAACTATATTTTTCCCAGCAGCTGCAATATGGTTTATAGGTAAGTCATTATGCAACTTCCTATTGATTTGCCACAATCATATCACATTACTAATTTCTTAATTATATCATTCTCATAATTTAAAAGAGTGAGGATTCATCATAAGAAAAAGGAGCTGGACTTGAGTAACATTGATGGTTCTAGAAATCATGTCCAACCCAACCAACCTAACCAAAAAGTAAATGGGAACAAGTCTCATCTAATCATACCATACCATGATGGGTGTACCACAAAGAGTGGTCCAGTTGGTAAGAGAAAGATTCATAGCCTACAAGAATGCAAGTTTACAAAATCTTTGTTGTTGGATAATTTATAAATACAAGATAAAGACTTCTTTGAATCTTGAAATCTATTCTGACCCTAGTGAACTCCTGACACCTACCTCACCTATTCTTTTTCACACCACAAACAAAATAGCATGATGGATCTTGCTTGGCCATTAGAACTAGTTAAATTACCATGGCAATAATGAACTCATAAATGTGTAATATATGGAAATGGAAGAGCTTTCTGAATGGTCTCTGTGCTGGTATTATTATGCACTATTGCAGGAATTTTTTTGCACAGTGTGGATAGATATAATGAAGATAGTGAGCCTGAAGTATCAGGCATGGAAAGGACAAACACGGGACCGTTGGTTGAAGACAACACTGCTGCGGCAACATCAAAATCTGATCAATCACAAAAATGTTGATTTCTTTATATCTTTTGATTCATTTTGCCTAAAATTTGTTTTGCACAATGATGACTGACATTGGCATATTGAAATGTAAATAGCGTCATTTTCTCAATATTATTTTTTAAAAATTTTGCATTATTATTATTATTATTATTATTATTATTATTATTCTCATTTTTATTTGAAAAGACAATATACTTGTTAAAAGATGCAACTAATGCTTTGGAAATATATTTTGGAATATTTTAGATTGAAGAATCTAGAAAATTTTTGGATGAATGGATTAAAAGTATATATAAAATTTTAAAGTTTTTATTACAAAATCTAGTTTTGAAAAAGATTTATTTAGAAAATTTTTAAGCAGTTATATCCGAAAACGATTTTTCACGTGTATAATTTTAAGTTTCGAATTTACTTTTTCGAAAATTTTAAAAGCATTTTCTATTGCCTTTTTAAAAAAGTTAAATTAAAACGACTCTATAACCTATTCTCCAGCATGATTAATATTATCTTTTCAAATAAATACGAACATACTTCATAAATATATGCTAAAAAATTAGAACCAATCTACCAAGTCCACCAATTCATAAAAAAAGTAAAAAAACATTTTTTATTAATTATAACTAAATTGAAGTTTATAAGTAAACTCAATTTTATCTTTTATAATAAAAGCAAATCAACTCTGGTAACTCTGGTAAGTCTGGTAACACAGTTATTCTGGGATGAAAGGTTCTTTACAAAAATGGGTTGTGAGGTGGAAGAATGTTCCATAGTAAAATCAATCCATGGATTCCATGGTGCAATGATAATCTGAGACATATTACTCTGCTCCTATTTTCTTCTCCCTTTCTATAAAAAAAAAAAAGAAAAAAGAAGAAGAAGAAAAGCCCTTTCATTGGAGAAGACCAAACCAGCAACGGTTTTGATTTTCCATGGTTTTGAACCCCTTGAATTTGCACCCTTTTCTAAACGATAAGAAACAGGAAGAGTCGCCCACAGAGACTCTCATGAGTCGTGCACTTTCTCATTATAAATCAACACAAAGTTCAGAACTTCATTAATTTCGCCAACTTGGCTTCATATCACACATCTCTCTTTGCATTGGCTTATCCAAATCCATGGCACCTACTGCATCAATGCTCTTGCTCTCCCACAACGGCAAAGCACATGCCCCATCATCATCATCATCATCATCATCTTCATCTCTCACAACCACAACTTTTTCTATGCTGAAACATTCTGCACTCAAATGGGTTGCCAAATACAACACCCCTTTGCCCAAAGCAGGATCAGAGAATAACATCATTCAAACTCAAATCTATCGCATGCTTCATCCTTCTGCAATGGAGAAAAGGTTCGAAGATGCCCTTCTACTTTGCAGCTGCTAGTGCTCTTCCTTCAACTTTTAATGCTTCACTACTCTTCTTTTTCCTCTTATTTGATGTAAATACGTACCAGCTTGTATGTACTATTTGCACATATTACAATCTGTCAAAAAAAAAAAAAATCATTTCATCAAACACCTTCTGGATGAAAAAAGGGGTCATGATAAAAATTGCGAAAAGTAGTTTCAGAATCTCATATTTTTCACCCTCTAAGTAATGATAGATTCTACAAGAGTATTCACTTAATTTAATGATAACTGATTAAAATATTCTTGAAAAGAATAATCTCGAATTGTCATTGAAAATATTCTTATATAAATAAAAAATAATTTATTTTATTAACTTACGTGCGTGAAGTTTATGTATACCTCTTGTCTCTTGTTTATTTGGAAAGAGATTTTTTAAAAGTTAATTAATTTTTATGTAATGTTATTCTCAACCAATTTTAATCATAAGATTCTTTCTTAATATTAGTAGTTTTCTTGCTAATATCAACCATTTTTTCTCTAATTATTGTAATTTCAGATTATTTATGGGGTAATATTTTTTAACCATCTTTTACTATAATTTTTTTCCGACATCGAGATTATTTCTCCACATAATTTGAATTTGTCCGTTGGATTTAAAAAAAGTTATGATTTTGATTCTTACATTTGAGAGGCGAAATTAAGTTATTTAGAATTCATAATTTAAGTTTAAAAATATTTGTAGTCTCTGAAATTTAATATTTATGAATTAAATTGTTTTTTTTTTAAATCGAGGAATTATAGTTTTATTTAAATTTGAGAAAACTACCAATAATAAACCTAAAAAAAACTACAAAATGCAAACATGTAGAAAATAATAAACCAAAAAAAACTACAATATCCAAACATTTAAAAGGGAGTTTTAATGTGTGTTAAATGTATTTTATAAATGTATTTTAATTTAACAATTCATTACTTATTTTCGGATTCTCTTATTTAAAAATGCATCATAGAAAGTATAATCTTAAATTTATTTTCTGAAAATTTTTTAAATTAACCTCTAAAAGCTGTTCAGAAGGAATTTTTATTTTTTTTAAATGTGAATCTAAAAAATTTATGGAATAAAGTTTTTAGAACCTACTTCATCATCAAAATGAGGTAATGAAAAAAATATATGTAAGGGGCATGCATGATACAGCCAAACTTGTCCCACTCAAGGCATTGAATTTTGACCCAATCAAATGAAGTCCAGCCAAACCAAATCACACGCACAAAACCAACTCCAAACAAAAAGTGTCGAAACATCAAAATCACTATACCACCTTGCAAGTTAAAACACAAACAAAAGGGTCTTTGCTTCCTGTAGAATCTTAAGCTAAGGAGTTCATCAACGACAGATTTTGCCGTTGTTGACCATGAAATGTTTTTGTGACGATATAAGCGGAGTTACGACTCCAAGAAGATTCTTCATTTTTTTTTTTGACCTACTTTTGCCATGGCTTAACTCATAATAGGTGGAGGTAAACTAAAGTCACATGGTGACAACATGACAATACCTAAACCACATTAGCATGACCAAGTTACAATGGAAGAAACTAAAAATAATACAAATTGATATTTAAGAGACTTGAAAAAAAAAATTCTTTTAGAGACAAATATTAAATAAATATATTACACAAATCAGCAATTTAAAAACAAAACTTATTTCTTTTAATTTTTAAAAAGTAAAATAAAAAAGAGATATTTTCTTTATTGTTGTGGAAGAATCAAGAAATTGAAGGGGTTTGAGAGAGGAAGGATGAAGTGAGGGAGGGAGAAACTGGGGTGGGGAACACAAATTCATTCATTCATTCTCTCTTTCTCAATTACAACGTATTAACCCATTTATTCTTCACCTTTTTCCAACCCTAACAACCTTTCCCCTTCACCCTATCCATGGCTTCCTCGGAGATCGAGGTGGTATCATCATCATCATCGGTCTCCAAACCCAACGACCTGCCTCTTATCCTCGACATCTTCACCGCCTCTGTTCACGGCGACTTCAACAAACTGAGAACCTTCGTCGAACAACACGGGGCCTCCGTTTCCGTTCCCGATGCTCATGGCTACTACGCTCTTCAATGGGCTTCGCTTAATAATTTCCACGACATTGTGCACTACCTCATTCAGGTACCGTTCGCTATAATTCCCCTTATTTTATTTGGATAGGAAAATTGAACGTCTCCTTTTAAATTTTTGAATTTAAGTTGGTTTTGGCTTCATGTACAGCAAGTTTCGATTTTCTTCTTTGGGTAGTTTTGTGTCGTTCAGTAAATTATTAGCTTTCGTAACTCTTAGTGAAGTTGCTTTATGTGGAAGTTAGTTTATGAATTGATTTAGGTTGAACTACTTTAATTTGAACTGTATTTTTATGAAGCATGGAGCGGATGTGAATGCTAAAGACAACATGCAACAAACCGCATTGCATTGGGCAGCAGTTCGTGGTTCAACTGCAGCTGCTGATGTGCTTGTGGAAAATGGTGCACGTGTTGAAGCTGCAGACATAAATGGATACCGGGTATTGTTCTCCCTTGGTTGTGTACTCTTGCATGCTTGTCATTATTTGTTTAAATGGATTATTTCGGCAGAATTTAATTGTTTCTGTAATTTGGGAGGCATAGATTGGGTACTTAAACATTCGAATTATTGCATCCAAATTCATATCCTAGTTTGAATTATTTACCTTTTTCGACTCAATCCCTAGCTGTATTGTAATGTTAACCATCCATTTCCAAAACTATACGGCTGGATAACAGCTGTATTCCGGATTTTATTCTTTATTATTTTACATCCGGATATCCAAGTATCAAAATTTCACCCAACTGATCAATTAAAGTTATAACAATTTTTTAAAATATAAGCTTTTATGTTTTAGCTATTAAGCACTATATGTAAGGTAAAAAGAAGCAAGACGAGTTTAGTTTAAGAAACTGTGACTCATATTTTGCCAATAAGAATAAAATCAATTATTAGAAAAAAAAATGCTTATAATAGACTATCTATATTTTAGTTGTTGTCAAATTAGTGTCCCCCCAGATATAAATTGTATTGGTAGCTGGGTACAGAATAGGTGAGCACGTGGGTTACTGTGTGATATAAACCCTGGACTTACTCTGCCTATCACCTGTTTATATGTTTCTACTGTTGCATTATTTTCATAGTTAAATGGTTCCTGCAGGCAGTTCATGTTGCTGCACAGTATGGACAGACAGCTTTCTTAAATCACATTATAGTAAAGCACCATGCCGATTTTGATGTGCCTGATAATGATGGGAGGAGTCCTCTTCATTGGTATGCCTTGAAGCTTTTGATTTCTATGCACGATGAAGAAACCATATTTTGACAATGACTTGGTTGTCAATGTCATAGTCCAAAATTGGCATCTTTCTTTTGCTATTGATGCACTCATAAAATTGGTTAAAATCTCATTTAAATACAAAATGCTTAGTATGCTCGGGGCTAAACTGTCTTTTTTCTTCTTAACTAATTATTTTTATGGAGTATTAACCAATGAAATGTTTCCCTGCGCTTCAAAGAGTTTTTAGTACTATAGGTGTGTTGAGTCAATTGTTAAAGCTCACCCTACATGATTGTTTTGATTTGTTTCTAATAATTATGGTTGCATATGCAGCAATTCCATTGAAGAAGTTGATTTTTGTTCCTTTTTTTTTTTTTTTACATCTTCATTTCATGGCCAGGGCTGCATATAAGGGATTTGCTGACACAATAAGATTGCTTCTATTTAGAGATGCATCTCAAGGAAGACAAGATAAAGATGGTAAGTCTAGTGAGCATTTAATTTCCTTTACATTTTTACAAGTTCTTAATTATATATTCTTTATACCATAATATATTCTTTACATTTTTTATACATTCTCTAGTTTTAAGTATTTGGTCAAGACCACTCCAACATATACTCTAGTAAACATTCAAATATTTGAAGTATTTCTGTATATGCTGTGATTAGGTATCACTAAGGAGGGGGATGGGATTGGTGTTTTTGGTAATGAGCACCATACAAGTTCGTATGAATAATATTATGAGATTGAAAAATCTTTAATTGTTATGTATTACTATGGATATCATGTACACAATGATTTGATGATCTTGGTGTTTCTGTTTGGATGGGTTTGTATGCTGCTCTTGTCTATTTGAAGTCTAAGATGCTTCAGACCTGCCTATAGTTTCAAGACATTTTTTGGGGTACATATTTTAGTTTTTATGTTCCTGACATTTGATGATATAGTCAGAAAAGTTTGAGTGTTATTTTTAATTATTACATTAGATTAAATTTTTTAGTAATACGATTGAAAGAGGTCGATTTTTCCATTAGGTTATAGTTATTTTGATAATCTTTTTTCTTTTACATGATGCTACTCAATTAAACTGGTTTAGGTTGTACACCGTTGCACTGGGCTGCATTAAGAGGAAATGCAGAGGCATGCGCCGTGCTTGTACATGCAGGCACAAAGGAAGAGTTGATGGTGAAGGACAATGCTGGACACACACCTGTACAGCTTGCATATGATAAAGGTCATCGACATGTCGCCCCTTTCCTTGTACGTAACATTGGATTAATGAGGCTGTTGGTTTTGTAATTTTTTAAGAACATTCTTGATGAGGCTTGTGGTAATTGATAAACATTCTTAGATTTAGTTTTTCTAACTGCTATAGAGTGCTGAAGTTAACAGATTTATTTTAAAACTGATGAGGGAAAATCTAGATAACATGGTCATAGTGGCTTTGATACAGTTTCATTAGCCAACTGTCCCAAAAGCTTAAACTGTTGCATCAAAATACAGGAATAGTTTTTTATACTTAATCACAAACATGTGTATGTTTATGTAAACTAGAGTGGCACCCTTGATGTTTCTATTAATTGTTCAGAATATATCCTATGTGATTTCTAAAACATGAAAAAAGCAATCAATAGCAAAAAAAGATGTTATTTTACATGAATGTAATGTGCGAAATTTTGAATAGTTTAATGTATAAAGAATGTTATAATTGTTCAAACTTGAATAACAATCTCTAATATTTATGGTAATATTGAATACTTTCCAACTGAGTATTGTTGAAACATCTTTTTCGTTAAAAACTCACCTAATTATAGGATATTAGATGGTTTTAATATTTAGGATGTCTTTCGAAGAGTTTATTTATGACTTATTTAGATTTATCTTTCACTAAGTACTAGCAAATACGTTTGAGAGTACTTATTCTTAGAATTCAGGCTTAGGATTAATTCCATGAAGCTGGTGAGCTGAGGACTATTCAAGTCTATTAAGGACAACATAGGCCATATTTTAGTTGATGTAGATTGTGGGATCCGAACTGAACACCCTCTCATGCCTGGGACTAGACATCCAGAGCATGAACAAATGTGGGTTACCTAATGACAAACCCCTGCGTGTGAGGAATACATATCTAGATCGTAGACAAATATGGATTGATGACTCAATAACGAATCTAGCATAGACTCTAATCTCATTTACAATTTGCACTTGGGATTTGACTCAAGTAGACAAAACTGGTTTGTAAGGTGAAGACTGCTTAAGCCTTATAAAGGTATGGATTGTATTGCCATATATCTAGTCGACGGAAAATCTAAACACTTATGAACATAGCTTATGACATGTTGATACAACTTTATTTAATAAGCATTCCAGGGCAGCTTATGAAAACAATATATCCAAATTTCTTCTTCAGTGATGGAAACAATTTACACATAAGTGCTTATGTGATAAGCACTTGTTCAATGATCACTTAGTCAAGTTATTTACTCAAACATACCCTTAAATGTCACTTGTACCTATCAGGGTGATAGTTATATCTTAGTATTCAATAGTTTTGAATGTTAAAAAAGAATGTCTATTAAGTTATTGAAAGTATTGTTGTAAGTAAAGTTTTGATGCGGTTAGATATTGTTAAATATTGTTAATTATAATATTAAACAATATCTTCTATTTACTCTAATTATTTTTAGTTACTCTTTTTAGTTGTACCTCTCTTTATTAGAAATAGATTATCCTATGTGTGGTTTATACATAAGGGAGATTAATCTTAGATCCTATTTTCTCTATATTCAACATGGTATTTAGATCTTAAGGTTATTTTGAAATATTTTCCACCTTTGTCCACTGTCACCACTGGCGCTGTTGCCGGAGCCGTCGTCGGAGTTTCATTTTTGACCAGCAACATATAGTCTTACTCGTCTCGGTCAAGCAACCACCATACAGTTGATATCACCACTATTAGAGTTGGTCGTCCGTTGTCTCCAGTGACGTTTAGTCTCGACAAACGTGTTTTGATATTCTCGGTTTGGATCTGTGCTTAGTGGGTTGATTGGACTACTTTGGAGTTTTTTTAGGGTTTGTTTACCTCCCTTCATGACTTCTTCCGCTCCTTCTATTTCATCTGACACACCTGCTATGTTCAATAAATTTCTCAAATGGTATACGGATCAACAGTCTTCTAGATATTGTTATGATATTGTTAAATATTGTTAATCATAATATTAAACAATATCTTTTATTTACTCTAATTATTTTTTAGTTACTATTTTTAGTTGAACCTCTCTATATTATAAATAGAATACTCTATGTGTGGTTTATACACAAGGGAGATTAATCTTAGATCCTATTTTCTCTATATTCAACATGGTATTTAGATCTTAATGTTATTTTGAAATTTTTTCCACCTTTGTCCACTGTCACCACTGGCGCTGTTGCCGGAGCCGTCGTCGGAGTTTCATTTTTGACCAGCAACATATAATCTTACTCGTCCCGGTCAAGCAACCACCATACAGTTGAGATCACCACTATTAGAGTTGGTCGTCCGTTGTCTCTAGCGACGTTTAGTCTCGACAGACGTGTTTTGATCTTCTCGGTTTGGATCTGTGCTTAGTGGGTTGATTGGACTACTTTGGATTTTTTTTTAGGGTTTGTTTTACCTCCCTTCATGACTTCTTCTGCTCCTTCTATTTCATCTGACACACCTGCTATGTTCAATAAATTTCTCAAATGGTATACGGATCATCAGTCTTCTAGATATTGTTAAGATATTGTTAATCATAATATTAAACAATATCTTCTATTTACTCTAATTATTTTTTAGTTACTATTTTTAGTTGAACCTCTCTTGATTATAAAAAGATTACCCTATGTGTGGTTTATACATAAAGGAGATTAATCTTATATCCTATTTTCTCTATATTCAACATGGTATTTAGATCTTAAGGTTATTTTGAAATTTTTTTCACCTTTGTCCACTGCCACCACTGGCGCTGTTGTCGGAGCCGTCGTCAGAGTTTCATTTTTGACCAGCAACATATAGTCTTACTTGTCTCGGTCAAGCAACCACCATACAGTTGAGATCACCACTATTAGAGTTGGTCGTCCGTTGTCTCCAACGACGTTTAGTCTCGATAGACGTGTTTTGGTCTTCTCGGTTTGGATATGTGCTTAGTGGGTTGATTGGACTACTTTGAATTTTTTTAGGGTTTGTTTTACCTCCCTTCATGACTTCTTCCGCTCCTTCTATTTCAACTGACACACCTGCTATGTTCAATAAATTTCTTAAATGGTATACGGATCAACTATCTTCTAGTTTCACTGCGTCTGTCGCACACACAGGTACATCTTTTGCTGGTTTGACCCAATCTTCTTCTGGTCCTTGGGTTTTTTATTCAAAAGCCACTGATCATATTACTGGTAACTAATCTTTATTCTCCTCTTTATACTATCCTAATCCTTTACCTTCTGTTACACTAGCTGATGGCTCTAGAGTATCATCTCATGGTGTTGGAACTGTTAAACTTTTTCCTTCTTTAATCATTGATAATGTTCTTTATGTTCCTGGGTCTCCTTTTAACCTGTTGTCCATTAGTCGTCTAACTCGTTTTCTTGATTATGTTGTTTCTTTTACCAACAATTCTATGTGTTTACAGGACCAGAGTTTGAAACAGGTGATTGACACAGGATATAAGTCTCATGGTCTTTATCATCTCTGTCCCCTCTACACATGTTGATGCAGTTATGGAGTCTCCATCTCTTCTTCATGCTCAGTTAGGTCATCCAAGCCTTGTCAAGTTACAACAGTTTATCCCTGTCTTGTCCAAGCTGTCTAGTTTGGTTTGTGAGTCGTGTTAATTAGGTAAGCATAGTCGTACTTCATTTCCTCGTAGTGTCACAAATGGCGCTTTGTCCCTTTTTGCCGTGGTTCACTCTGACATTTGGGGACCTAGCTGCGTTAAGTCTACTTTAGGTTTTCAATACTTTGTTACTTTCATTAATGATTATTTTAAATGTATTTGGTTATTTTTTATGAAAAATTATTCTGAATTATTTCATATCTTTCAATATTTTTTTAATAAAATTCAAACTTAGTTTAGTGTTTCTATTAGAGTTTTGCGCAGTGATAATGACTGTGAATATCTTTTTCATTCTTTTAAACAATTCATGGTTTCACATGATATTCTATATCAAACTTCTTGTGCTTATACACCTTAACAAAATGGTGTAACTGAATGTAAAAATATACATCTTATTGAAACAACTCACGCTCTTTTAATTTATGGAGAGATTCCTCGACATTTTTGGGGTGATGCTCCTCTTACTGTATTTTTTTTTGTTAATCACATGCCTTCTTTGGTTTTAGATAATAAAATACCTCATTCCATTTTATTCTCTCATGAACCTCTTAATCCCTTACCTTTAAGAGTTTCCGAGTCTACATGTTTTGTTCATAATTTCAATCCTGGTCTTGACAAGCTTTCTTCTAGATCACATAAGTATGTTTTTTTAGGGTTTACAAGATTACAAAAAGGATACAAATGTTTTTCTCCTTCTTTTAACCGTTATTTTGTGTCTGCAAATGTCACTTTTGATGAGTTTATCTTTTATTTTAAATGTCAATCTTCACCTCTGTCTCCATCCAATCCTGTCAACACTCCTAGTACATTTAATGTTCCTGTTGTTTGTGACCCTCTAATTATATCTTTTTCACCATTAGTTCCTACTTCGCAGTCAGTTTCTTCTCCACTGCCCCTTCAAGTTTATAGTAGCCGAAACCGATCACAACCACCACCATGTGACTTTACTCAAGTGTCAACTATTTTGTCTCTTTCGGCTCTGACACCTGAGTCTGACTTTTTCATTGCTCTTCGAAAAGGTATCCGTTCTACACATAATCCTTCTCCCCATTATATTACTTTGAGTTATCATCGAGTGGAATTACTTTTTTGTACATGTCTTTCCTCTATTTCTTCTGTGACCATTCCAAAAACTGTCCACGAAGCTTTAGTTCATCCTGGTTGGCGTCAGGCCATGACAGATGAACTAAGTGTTTTTCATAATAGTAGAACTTGGGAATTGGTCCCATTACCGTTAGGGAAATATGTTGATGGTTGCAGGTGAGTGTTTGCTATCAAAGTTGGACCTGTTGGTACTATTGGTTGCCTCAAAGTTCGTCTTGTAGCCAAATGTTATACTCAAATTTTTGGGTTTGATTATGGAGATACCTTTTCTCTCGTGGCAAAGATGGCTTCTGTTCGTTTATTTATCTTCATGACTGCTCTTCAACAATGGTCTCTTTATCAATTGGATGTTAAAAATGCTTTCCTCAATAGTGATTTGCAAGAAGAAATCTATATGGAGCAACCTCCTGAGTTTGTTGATAAGGGGGAGTCTTCTGGGATGGTATGTCGACTTCGCAAATCCCTATATGGCCTTAAACAGTTTCCTAGGACTTGGTTTGAAAAGTTTAGCAATGTTGTTCAACAATATGGTATGACTCGGTATGAAGCAGATCATTCTGCATTTTATTTACACTTGAATGCTGGATGTGTTTACTTAATAGTATATGTTGATGACATCGTTTTTACAGTTAGTGACAATCATGACATCTCTCAGTTGAAACATCTCTATCACCATTTTCAGATCAAAGATCTTGACAAATTCAGATATTTCTTGGGTATTGAGGTGACACAATCCAATGTTGGTATTGTTATATCTCAGAGGAAGTATGCTATGATATTTTGGAGGAAATTGGGTTGATGAGGTCAAAGTCTGTTGATGCACCCATGGATCTCAATGCTAAATTTCTACCAAATCAGGGGGAGCCTATATCTGATCCTGAACAATATAGAAGATTGGTTAAGAAATTGAATTATCTTACAATTACTTGTCACATTTTCTTTGCAGTTAGTGTGGTAAGCCAAATTCTTAATTTCTCATTATCTTAAAGTATATTAAAGGATTTTCTGGAAAAGAATTGTTATATGATTCTAATAACCATATAAGAGTTGTTTGCTACTTAGATGTTGATTGGGCAGGATCTCCTTCTGATAGAAGATCCACATCTGGGTATTGTGTTTCCATTGGTGATAACTTAATCTTGTAGAAAAGTAAAAAACAAAGTGTTGTGGTAAGATCCAGTACAAAAACAGAATATAGAGTTATGATCTCAATTATATGTGAATTTATTTGGCTCAAACAATTGCTTAGAGAGTTACAATTTGGAAATGTCACTCAAATGACACGCTGCTCTTTATATTAGCTCTAATCCTCTTTTTCTCATGAGAGGACCAAATACATTCAGATTGACTGTCATTTCATTCGGGAAAAGATTATGTCTGGAGGCATCAAGACTGAGTTTGTTAACTCAAGTGATTAGTTAGCAGATATTTTTACTAAGTCTTTACGGGACCTAGAATTGATTATATTTATAACAAACTTAACATATACGATTTATATGCTTCAGCTTGAGGGAGATTGTTAGATATTGTTTAATATTGTTAAGATATTGTTAATCACAATATCAAACAATATCTTTTATTTACTCTAATTATTTTTTAGTTACTCTTTTTAGTTGTACCTCTCTCTATTATAAATAGATTACTCTATATGTGATATATACACAAGGAAGATTAATTTCAAACCCTATTTTATTTATATTCAACATATGCTTTTAGTTGTCTTGTAGATTTATAGGTCATTTAGATTCTAATGTCTGGTAGGCTGATACCTGATCTAGGTTGTCAAGATGGTGATTTTGCATGTAGGATTGCACAATTCTCTATGAATCTCTACTGCTGCTCCAATTCCATACTTGAGTCCATGAAGGATTTCTGACTAACAGTGTTGTTAAAGGCACAATTCAGATCATGAAATCACGATGCACCCTCCTATTTGTCAAATTGTTGCTTGGATAGTTTGCCAGTGGGATCATGATCTTCCATAGGATCATTGATATCCTGCATGTCAGGAGTGGGGCCAATACACCGGTTTTGAAAACCTTAAATACACTTTGTTTCGGTTGTGTTTCCCGACCATTTCCTTTGCACTTCTTCTCCTTCAGTTGGTCTGTTGGACCTCCACCCTGCACTGCTAGTGCTGCCTAGGGCATGGGCCACCACTGATTGGGTCTCTGTTTTGCTGACTAAAGTTGTGAGGTGTGACTGCTGCTTCCCAGGCTTCTCTGATTATTTCTATCATTTCTGGTTTTTAAATTTAACTTATTTTTCGGTTCATCTGTTCTTATATCTCTTCTCTGATTTATTTACTGGTTTTGGAATGGGCATAACTGTATTTTTTGGTTACAAATGGGCCTAGGCATATAGTATATAGTTATAATAAATCAGAGAATAAGACTGTGTTTGTAAAATGGTTATATTTATGTTATATAACTTTTGAGTGGTCCCAAGTGTTTCTTATAATAATACATTATAGTTATTGTTATTTAAAATATATTATTGAGGTTATGAATTTAAAATATAAGTTTGTTTAATTTTATAATTTAGAAGAGGTTGTTTTCTTTATCTATGTTGTTTTTTATGCATATATGTTATATATAAGTATAATTTTGCATTTTTGGTAAGAACATATGATCTTACCATCTGAGTAACGTGTTTTCATCCCCCTCCTGATCCTAAGTTGTATCTCAAGTTAACAACTTTGCTGCATAGAACGATCAGATTGGATCTTCCTGATAATTATGTGGGATTGGTCCTCCCCAGCTAATTTGGTGCCAAAAGCCTTCCAGGTTGGATTTTGGCAACCTGATTTAGGAAAGAGGTTTTTGTTGCTCTAACCCCTTTCTTGGAGTTGCAGAGCACACAAATTTGTGAGTTGATCCCGAAAGACCAAAACCCAATGTGGTGTTTCTTTAAGCCCCAAAATTTATTTTCTCTTCATGTGATAACATTGATCCCTCTTTCATCTGTTTCAACATTTGAAGCTACAAATCCCTTTTTCTGCCTTCTCAATTTTATTGACTTCTATTTGTTTTCTGTTCCTTTTTCTTTCGGATATGGTCCCTTTTTTGTCAGGATATCCTCTATATGGTTGAAATCAAAAAAATAATTTGAAGCAACAGTGCTGTTAGCTTAAACCATCAAATTTTACTGCTGAAAATTGCACTGTAACAGTGACTTCTTGCACTTTGTTTATTAGTTATACACTTATTCGCTCTGTAACTGATTAGTGTTTCATTTTTGCAGTCAAATCAACAACGGGCTCATAGCAACTACTGGAAAGGGAAACTTTGTAGTGGGGTGGTGACAGATATTGGTTATGCTCCCATCTTATTGTGTGTTATGATCATTCTCATGATCCTCTTCATCAACTCAGTTATTGCAGGTACTTCAAAAATTGTACACCAATTTGCAATACCACAGAGCCACACACACACACATTTGCACTCAGTAGTCATTACTTGAGTTTTTGTGATGACTTAACTTTAATGGACCTTTTCCACTAATGCCAGCTCCTAACCTTGGAAAGATTACTGCTATTGCTGGACTTTGGGCATGGACTGCACTTTCTCTAGAAGTTGCTGCCCTGATCATGTTCTATAGGTGTAGTAGGTAATCTTCTGTTCATGTTTTCTTTCTGTTTTCTGTTTGACATGGTAATATAAATATATGTACTTTATTTGTATTTATGTGATATTATATAACTTCTACTGATTGATATCTGTTGTCATCTTGTGAATGCTTCAATAAAATTCTATAGGAAATCAGCTAAGATTTAGGACCAAAACGTGACTAGTGTTTCATTTTCTTTGCATTTTCAAGTCATGTTTGAACTCTTTTACTGTTAGCATATCCACCATTAGAGCCACAACAATATCCTGCAGCATCACCTGAATTGGATGAGTCAGGGAGTGCATAACCTTGCGTGTAGTTGACTGGAGAGAACAATTGTTTTCAGAACCTATTGGTGTGAGATTCGTGCAAGAATGAGAGCCTCAACTTCAGCAAAAGGAAGAGTCTTGAACATGCTTTCAATAATTGAAATTACTGTGCATAATCTTGCAGTCTTTCTTCTAGAATCGCATCAACACATTCATCATATGGCACAAGATTTCGTACACCAAGGAGCTTGTCTATAATGTTCTTGATCTGAGACAAGAATTCATGCATCGTTTTCCTGTCCACAGTCCACAGAGGTATCACAAAGATTAGTGCAAAGTTAACAAGTATGTGCTTTTGTATGCAAGTGAAAGTACTTGTGAATTTTATCTCATACTTTATGAGTGAATCGAGCTAATCAGGTGACAGAGAACCAATTTCGTCAACAATGATGGAACCCAGGTGGGCAATATTTGATCTTGTACTTCCCAAGCTTCTACGGGGGATTAACATTATCTTGGATCTTTATGTGAGGTATCAAGGAGGAATCGATGAGTTAACAACAAACCTCTGAAGCTTGTGCGATTTGACATGGGTTTGATTTGCTGTCTCTAGTGAAGATAATATGAATCAAGTTTCTCGACTATGAAAAAGATTGAGCCACAAAAGGAATGGGGTTCAAGTTTTCCATGAGAGAAGAAGAAACAGATTGCAAGAAAGGTCAGCGTATACCACGAAAATCAGTGGCTCTAGATACTATCCTAGAGAGAAACAATTAAACTGAGAGTGAAGTTTTTCATCTCATTCAACCCATTGAAAATAGGATACAGAGGGGACATTTATAGTAGCTGCCTTCATTGGTACAGCTGTACAATGGAGGATAGCAGACTAACGAACTGTTACAGTTGGCAAAACAAACTAAGAATATTCTGGTTTTATATAAGAATGAATTATAACAGATTGAAAAATGTAATATTTTTCATACTATAATCTAATACAGAGAGACAAAAAAATTCAGGAATAAAAAAACTGAGAAACCATAGAGCGATGAAGAGTTCAGCAAAGGAGATACAGATGAAAAGAATAGAGAGAAACAAAAAATTAGAGAAACAGAAGGAAAGAAAGAGACAGGGACTCATGAACAGGGTTTATTGGGATGACCAAATAGATTGTTTGTGACAGCAGATGCGTTCAGTCAAATGGATCACCAGTGTTTCGCTTGTGAAGACATGATTACTACCAGTTTAGATAGAATTTCAGTGTACAATACACTTTGAATGTCTTTTGATGGTAGCCATGTTGGTTTGTAATTTTTTTTCAAACAGAGCCGCTACTCCCTTCATCATCCATAGCTTTTATAGCAAAAGTGAACATCCTCCTATGCATAGCCCTGTAATAGCAATTTGCTTGAAATCTTCTGCCTGATGGGAGTGTTGCTGGTATTTAACATTACTGGATATAAAATGCTGGAAATTAGGAATCAGTGTCAAAAAGATATAAACATAAGAATATGAAATTATATTGAATGCAAAATTGCTAAATTATTTTGTAACTTTGCTCAAATCTGAATTTGGGAAGTGCTTCTCTGTGTGCATTGAATTTTTTAAATAAGGAGATAGTTATTTCCTGCTTTGTTTTGAAATCATGTGGTATTTTCTGGCAAGTTATGATCATTGTTGTCTTATATTGTTATTTTTTTTATCTTGTATTTGCTTTAATGTTATTTGCTGTCCATATTCATGCAATATATATTTGTAATACGTATTATTAAACATGATAATGTGTTCTAACTCCTGAAATCTCAAAAATAAAATAAAATATTGGAGTTCAATTCTAAAGTTTTGATTTAACACTAATTTATTTATGTTCTTTCAATCTTATGCAGCAAAGATCCTGGTTATATAAAACGGCTGGGAGACTTGTCTCAAAGTGATAAAGAGGTACGCTGTCCTTTTGTAGCTGTTGTTTTATAAAATGTTGCTTTCGAGTGATGATTGTTTTGAAGAAAAGACTTGCACCCCAAAACCAGATTTTATCAATGGAAACTATCATATTTCATGGGTCCCTTTTTTGTTAGTGACATTGTGGTAGTATGTTGGGACAAATAACACAGGAATATTGCTATACTACGTTATTGTAATTTCAAGATCATATAGTTAGAAATTACTTGGTTTTATTTCAGTGGACAATGTATGTATCACATGAATTGTGTTGCATGTGAGGGAGTGCAAGACTTGATGCAAGTCCCTACGATTTCACTAGAGCATTGGCTAGAAAATATGACTATTATATCTTTAATATGAATCATGTTTTACTTCAATATTGTCTCATTTACTTTTCTTTATGTTGTAAAATCTGAGTTTTAAGTTTGATATTTTGCAGGATCCTTTATTGAATATTGATCTCAATAGCTCCTCTGTTTGGATGGGAAATTGGTCTCAACTTTGCCCTACCTGCAAGGTTTATTTACGTGATATTCTTGAGTGTTTAAAATGACTAATGTTGACACTTGACTTACATTTATGTTTTACTTTATTATATTCTCAAAATAAGTCATCACTTATCAGGTTTTCTCGAATTGTATCATCAGATAATAAGACCTGTCCGATCTAAGCATTGCCCTACTTGTAAGCGATGTGTGGAACAATTCGATCACCACTGTCCATGGATATCTAACTGTGTTGGGAAGGTAAGGAGTGTTGTGCTATTTGAATTGTTACACATGAAATCAAAAGTGCATTCCTATGATGGATTTCTTTTATTCAGTTCTATTTACAATAGATGGAAATGTGGTAAATCAATAAGATTCTTTCTTTCCTCAATATATTTGATTTAGAAATAAGATGCCCTTCTTGACTTTTCTGTTCAAACCAATAGCTGTTTTTCTTTTTTTCTTCACTCTATTCTACAAGCCTTATTTTCATACTTGATATGCTTTTTGCAGAGGAACAAAAGGGATTTCTTTATTTTTATCTGCCTGGGAACTTTGACTTCTTCAGTTTCTGCTGCCGTTGCAGTTCAAAGTATTGTCTTGAAGAACTCTTCTGCCCCATTCTACTTATTGAAAATTGCATAATTTATATTTTGCTTGAAATGTATAACAGCCTTGTTTTCCATGACAGGAATTTGGACATCTACACCAACATTACTGGCAGGAGAAACATGGATCCAATATTTGTTAGTAAGACATCCAGGTTTAGTTGTGTTTTTGATGATGGACGCAGTTATTTTCATTGCGGCTACAACATTAACCGTAACACAGACTTCCATGGTATTGCTTTATCCTTACTTGTGGTTCCTCGCCCCACCCCCCTCCCCCAAATAATCATTTAGGGGAAATTAGAAGAATTTAATAAACATCTTCCAAAAAGGCAAAGTAGCCTCCTTCTGTTAGAATGACTATAATTTCTGATCAACCTGGTCATTTACCGCAAATAATAGGGAAAACCTGCCAATGCCTAAAGGCCCAATTCTATCACAAGTGACAAGATATATCTTCTCTCAGTTCCTTTTGTTATTTACAGGCAACATGGCTTTGGCTTGTTTCTCTAATTATGTCGGTCCCCCATCTACTTAAAAGTTAATTAAAAATAAGAGCTTTAAATATAAGTCTAAAACTGGTAGTTGTCTTTAAATCAAAATGTTGCTATCTTGAGATTTGAAATAGAGAAGGAAAAGGAGAATTAGAAGCCACAAGCTTCTAAAAGTACCCTTTTTAGACCATCTTCAGTGCACAGTTCTTATCAGAACCCATTTTGTTGAGTTCTCCCATTGGAGAGGAATGAGCGGTTTGCCAGCATTGAGAACCAGTTTCAGAAGAACTCTTCCATTGCAGGGGCTTCTCTCTCTCACATTTCTATATTTTGATAAAATTATTAAATAAAAATAAAAATGTGAGACACTGTAGAGCCCATTAAAAACAAGTGAAGAACTCAAATTGGTTCTACCATTGGAGCAAAAAATAGGCTAAGTTTTTAAATTATACATGGCAATAGAAAGCCCCCAAAAGTGAGTTAAGAAATCTAAAGAAGTCGGAGATGATCTTAAAAGCTTTTTTTTCTTCCAAAGTTTTCTTTGTAAAGAAATTGTTTTTCTAAAAGTTCTTTTTGTTGTTGGCTCAACTCCTTTTAATAATAGCAGCCCAAAATAAGCTGGGGCATATACTTAGCATTAGCAGGGAGCAGTGCAGTATCCGTCAACTACTTTTGAGATTAGGGCTTAAAGGGTTTAGGGTTGTAGTGGCTTATAATGTTTTCCGGAAAAGAAGTACGATACATACTCCTTTTAATTAGATTATCTTCCATTATTCTACCTTTTTTTTCTGAGCCTCTCTTCTCACGTGACCAGACCATCTTTAGTCAAGTTTCTCTCATCTGTTTCATGTTACACAGTCTATCCCCCGAATTTATTCAATTCTAATTTTATCCCTTTTTAATATTGTTTGCCCACTCAGTCATATTAGCTTTCTTATTCCCTATCTTATTTTATACTTTTATTGGTGCTTCACTGCCGAACATTTATTGCAATAGTGCATTACTGGTCCTTGTTATCCAATAAAGTTTTTCGAGTTTGATAGCCACTTTGCAACCACACATTATCATTCCTGATGCCTTTCACTATTTCATCCATACGGGTTAATACTATGTGCTTCTAATTGGCAACCCTGTACTTCACTGGTTTTTCCACATACCATATTTGGCTCTTTATTAGTTGCTCTTTCAAATTTTCGCACACTGAACTCTGATTTTTGTAAATGCATGTTTTCTTTTACAATGGTATTTCATCTTAACTTATATATTAATGTTAAACTCTTGAAAGTTCATCTGGTTTCTTTATTTAGATGGGTTCTATTTCATATTCTCCTTAACATATATTTGTTCACCAATATTCTGTTATTTTTCCTCTAAAGTTTTCCTTCTATGTTACTCTTCCCTCTGTTGTTTTCATGTCCCTTGAGTATTAAACATGTTGGGTACTTCTAATCTGCTTATTATATAATAAATAATAGAGAGGTGATATATTGACACCCCAAACAACCTACCTTCAACTACAAATATTAATATTATATTAAATATTATTATTATTATAATATTAATTGAACTGGTGTTATAACAGATGTTTATAGAAAAAGGGGTTGTCAAACAAAATTTTCCCTAAATAATAAACAGTGTAGTCAGTGGTGCATTAATCCTCTCCTTTTATTTAGGAAATGATAGGGTCATTTGTGGAGAAAGAGGCAAGTTTCTGTGCCGGAAAACCCATCATATCATAAGCAGGAATTCAATTGTTTTCCTTTCTCCAAAATTGAAAAGTCATCTTTAGGAAAGGATATACGTGAATTTTATTGTCTAGATGGTTTGCAACATTCAGTCGGTTGAGCAACTTATCTCATACTCCATATCATAATATTGTTGAATACAACATACAAGCATCTCTCACATTCAGCTTCTAACCATTTTTACTACACCTTCAAGACAGTAACTGGAATGTTTTTCATGTTTATATATTATAATGCAGATTGCTCGAAATGTGACCACAAATGAACTGGTAAATTCCTCCCGCTATGATTATCTTCGTGGTCCTGATGGGCGGTTCAGAAACCCATATAACCACGGTTGGTGGAAGAATTGTGCTGACTTCCTTTTTCTGGGATACACAAATGATGATGAAATTGCTTGGCCCCGATTACAGCAGGTGGCAACTTAGAAAATTTGTCACAGTTTTAATTCGTAGATATGTAGATGATAGTAATTTTCGGCTAGGGTGTTCATTCACTGACACATGTACATTTTTATTAGAGAGCACAAAGAAATAAAACATTTTTTTCTTTTGGGCCATCAGAAAGTAACACTATTTGATACCCTCGTGTGCCTGTTGTGCAATTTTAAAGGACTGAAACAAATGTATTTTGACTTTTATAGTATGCTTGGCATGGATGAAAAATGGGTTGGTGTCAATGAATTTTGACAGTCTCGGTCTGACCTTTTTTGTGCTGATGAAGGATACTTTACTTTGTTTTAGCTTATTGAAAACGACAAAGGAAAAGCTGAATTCTTTGGAAATTTCTCAAATCAAATGTGCTTGATTGAATCAAAACAACAAAGGAAACCACTGATTTATTGATATAAAACAAGTCTATTTTAAGGAAATTATATTACATTTCCATGTTTTGAAATTATAACTTTTATGAAAAGAAAAACAAGCAATTATCTTTGAGAAAATTATGATCATTTCTAAAATAATCTACCCCACTAACTTAAATGAGTAAATAAAGGTTGTGTTTCCTCTTAAAATAAATTATTTAATTTTGACAAAAATATCCACATTATTTCGTACACTTATAGACAACTAAACATTTAACAACACTAATAAATTTCATTCAAAACTTAATTTTATGAAGATAGATCGCTTTTCCTAGTAAATGAAATTGCATAATATTTATTATACTAAAAAATAATTAGATGGTATTAAATTCATTTGAGAGATATATATTTTCTTTATGCATATTAATTGTATCAATAACATTTATTCATAGTCCTGTTTTGCTGATTTTATTTTAAAAATAAAATCATAAAATATAAAATATAATAGGTTTTATATAATTTAATACTTATTTATACATAACATTTTTAACATTTAAATCATTTTTTATTTTTTTATCACAAATAAACATATTTAAATTTTCTTTTCTTTTTATTAATCTATAAGATTATACAAAAAATTATATTTTTTAACTGTTTTTATGTCATTTTTATTGATTATTTTATTCTTTATTAAATAAAATTAGATTAATTATTTAACAAAACTTAAATTAATAATTACACGATTTTTCCAATAAAATATAATTTTTTTCAAACGAGACATCATTTGATTAGATATTTAATAATATATAGTATACGATTTTTTATATTATTTCTATATAATCAAAATATACTACAAAATAAATATTAGTTAATCAAATTATTATTTCTAGGTAATAAATAAAATCATATAAATAAAAATAAAATTACATATATTTTATTTATAAATGTATATAATTAATACTAATATTAATATAAATATTAAATTTTAACTTTTTCAAATAAGATAATGCCATAAAAAAAATCCGATAGACAGACGCGACAACTCATAATAACATATATTGAAGTAAAGTATTTTTATTGAGTAAAATACCTTATTCAATATTTTCAATTTGTATTTTTAATTTGAAAAAGTATTAATGAATGGGTTCATTTCCTGAGTTGGGTAATAAAACGTCTTTTCAGATTAAACTACAAATTTTTGAATTACTTTACCAGCTATATCGTATATGTAAAGAAAATTTAATATAAATATAAAATTAACAGTGAAAATTAGAAAAGGAAAAACGAGCAAAATGTCAAATTTTGATGAAACATCGTAGAAGTACAATAGAAGAAAAACATCTATGTTTTAATTTAAAGTTGATATTTTTAGCCATTTGATCACTTATATCAATTTGTCTTTACAAAATTGAACTATTATAAATTTTAAAAAATTAACTTCAAATATAACCTATAAAATATTAAAGTAGCCACTCGCAGTGACAGAATCAGAATGTACGGATTGGGGGCGATTATATATATATATATATATATATATATATATATATATATATATATATATATATATATATATATATATATATTTTAATAAAAAATTAAATTAATTTTATATATATAAAATTTAAGGGAATATAATTTATTGGGGTGGCACTATGAATTACATCTTTTTGGGAATTATAAGTCATTTATTTGTTTTCTTCTAGAACTTTTAAAATTATGTCTTTTAAATTGCTAATAAAAATCATAAAAACGTAAATATACAATTATCATATTATTTTTTTATTATGTTATTCATGAATGAAAATTTTATTGATTTATTATATTTTAAACATTAACTTTAAATAAGAAACACAATAAAAAGTTATTACAATTTAAATTCAAAAAGCACCAAATAGGCAAATTTAGAGAAGTTACGAGAAACTTTTTGCAAGTTGGGATAGTTTTTTCTTTGGTGAGAAAAAAAGGACTTTTTTTTCTGTTTAATATTTTGTTAATATGTCACGAATGAATATTATAAAGCAAAAGAAGCCTTTTTGAGAAGTAAACAGCAGCAGGATATAGGAAGTTTGAGATGTTCAAAACCTAAAAAATAATTACACATCTTTTTGTTTGTAGATAATTGTAAATAACGACAATTCATGGGATTGAAACACACTTCTTCTAAAAACCTGCTCCTTCAATATGTTGATACCTCTCTTGGATTGCTATATTGACTATCTTTTTTGCCAACAACTGTTGATGAATTATTATTTAAAATTCCCTTTCCTTTGTCACATGTTTTCATTATCGTTCTCAAAAAATTATCTCAAACTCTGTATACTTGACATTTTTACTGATTTCACCAACAATATTACAAGGCGAGAGAACATTGATGAGTGAGTGAGAATCTCCCAAGAGAGTACTCAAATTACAATAAATGAGTAGGTTTGAATTTATGTTGGTTTTAAAAAATAAATTTGGCAAATTTATTTTTGAAATAGTTGAGTATAAAAGTGAGTGTATCCCTCCGATTTACATGTAGGTAACTTACATATAAAATCATTTAGCTTCATTTTTTTTTTTTTCTTTCGTGAATTGTGTTAAAAATCAATTGAATAAATTAAACACTTGATAACATCATAAACTGTCAGTTGTTGGATCGAAGTTGAAGTAATCCTTAGCTTCTTTGGCATGAGGTGGTGTTGAATCATATTCTAGATAGCGTGTGACCAATATATAACGTTCACTTAAAAAATGAATGTAACTTCTAGTATAAAATATTTTGCAAATGATTTTCATTGATGCCACAGTGCAAAATTACTTCAAAATGTAAAATTTGTTTGCATTTGGAACATATTCTAATTAATTATAAAATTATACAAGGAGAACAACAAATTACATTGTGCTTTTACAAACCAGTTCAATCACCGACTCTAACTACAAACTGGTAACACCTTGAAGACAGACTCTAATTTTCCAAACAATGATGAATATCACATAATAAGACGTAGTGAGAATGTACTATTGAACGCACTCTACTACAAAACAAAAATTATTTAGATATTGAATCTTATTAGCTGTCAAAGCAATATCCACTTATTGAATAGATTATAGGAATAAAGTAAACGGCAGGAATGGATGTCTCCATAGGCAATACCAGGCAGTAGAATAAACATTAGCTCTGCTGGATTCCACTAGGCCATGACTGATTTTTAACAGGCTTCAAAATAGCTTCAACTTCTGACACAGCCTCTTCATCAATTCCACAAGTTGCAAGTTCTCTTGCAGCAGCAACATTTTCCTCCACCTATTTTGTTAGATTGTCCCAGTTAGAACAAGCTTGGATAGCTAAGCAAGGCAGTAACATCAACTCTTTTAAAATTATCTTTGAACTCCATCAATACACCAAGATAATATGGTATTATTCGACAAAAGACGTCTAATCAAATAACAAACAGCTACACTTCGCAGTACTACCATCAATTAGAGCCAGGAAATTTCTTTAGTATGTTTTTACTCAAACAGTATCAGATAATAAAACATTACATTAGCATATAACTTTAAGCTCAATATTGGTTTTATATTCATTATTTAGTTGGTAGATATGAAGAGGACAGATGAAAAATCCGTAGTTATTTTACAGAGGAATATTCTCCCATGTTTCAATGAAAACAAGGATAGAGGAGAGTAATTTATAGACCACACCATACAAAAGATGTAGAGCAAGCAGCTTTCATGCATTATGCACATAATTCAATAGATTTTCACAATAAAGATAGATACAATTAAATATGGCAATTCAGGAAGACTATGAAACCGAACCTGTTCAAGGGATTTCATGCCTATAAGCACTGATGTGATTTCCTTGTTCACCAAGCTGTACTGCAACGCTAACTTGGAAATGTTTTTTCCCTTCTCTTTACAATGAGCAGCAGCAGTTTGACATGCAGCCTGCAAAGTTCCAAATTAAAATACAAAAACATGGCAAAAGAAAGACCAAACTAATAATATCGAGAGTGTTAGTAGGCAATACTTGGATCCGGATGATCAAACCAATAAAGATATTAAGAATGGTGCAAGCCAGGATTTTTCTTGCAATATGAACTTCGAAAACAATAATTAAACTGAAACAAAAAATTAAAAAAAATGTGACAGTTAAAAGACGAGAGGCAGTACTATGTAATGTGATTTAGGGATCAATGAGAATGTAAACAAACACACCCAAACAAGAACTATGAGTATTTGAGAGAGGGGAAAAAGGGGAGTGAGAGTGCAGACCTTGATTTGGGGAGAAGCTGGATGCCATTCAGGTGGGCCAGCTTCAGTGAGAAGACCCATAGAGAGCGGAGAAGCATTGATAATACCAACCCCTTTGCCCTTCAAATAGGGCACCAAATCCCCCAAGGTGGAGTCGTTCAGAGAGTAATGGCAATACGAGAGCACCACATCAAGCGTCCCAGGCGGAACCCTATCAAGCACGTAACTGAAAATCCCGAGAGGAAGCCCCGTTATGCCGATGAAACGCGTCTTCCCCGCCTCCTTCAATTTCACCAGCGCCGGAATCGTCTCATTCACAATCTACCAAACAACAACCAACCAATCAATCAATCACTCGTTCGGTTCCATGAAACGTAGGAAGCTGAACGAGAAACGACACACGGGGAAGTAGTGAACCTGGTCTAGAGAACCGAACTCGATGTCGTGGCACTGGAGAATGTCGACGTAGTCAAGCTGCAGCCTCTCCAAGCTCTCTTCCACGCTCCTCGTCACTCTCTCCGCGCTGAAATCGAAACCCTCCTTGTACCGTCCGCACTTCGTTGCCACAACGTACGAGCTCCGAGGAGCTCCCAGAGCCTTCAGTGCCTTCCCCAGCACTTTCTCCGACAGTGTCCCTCCGTAATACCTGCAATTTTCTCACAAAATAAAAATAAAAATAAAATAAAAATACACATCTGACATGTAATGGGAGCGTGTGTAGTTGCGTACGGACGTACGGAGAAGTGTCGAAGAAGTTGATGCCGGATTGAAAGGCGAGGCGAACGGAAGCGTTGGCCTGCTCCTCGGAAACTGTGCCGAAGACATTGCCGAGTGGAGAAGCTCCAAACCCGACGGAGCTCACTTTCAGTCCAGTTCTACCAAGCTCACGTAACTCCATTTTTCCAATCTCTCGCTCACACCTTTTTCTTTCTTTCTCGCACAACGTAGGATTACCATTTATTATTTGAAAGATGCTTGTGGAGTGGACCCACCCACCCAGCGTCTATTTTAGTTCGTGGGCTGGACTTTTCCCCTGGGCCAATTAATTACTAGTGTTCAGGATAAATTAATGCTTTTTCTTTCTGCACCCGTATTTTCTTCATGCACCATCTTCATCTAAAATGGAGTATAATCTTTAATATTAATATATTCTGGACAACTCTTTCTCAAAAATGAATTTTGGATGGTGTTTTTTAGAATATATTTTTCGATTATATTTTTTACAAATATATATATTTTAGAGAATTGATTCCCCTCATAAACTTTTCATAATATATTTCTAAATGCAATTCAAAAATAGTTATAGATTGTATTTTTCTGAAATATATTTTCGAATTGTATTTTTTAGAAATATAATCTAGATTCTACAATTTATAAATTTATTTTTAAAAAGTATAATAAAAAATACAATTAAAAAAATATGTGATAGACCAAAGTTAACTTTAGATTATATTTTTCAAAAGTTATTATAACAATTTGAAATATTAAAATTGTAAATCAAATATTTTATTTTATAAGATTTTTGAATATACAACATGTTATATTATTCAAAATATAAATCACCAATAAATTTTTAATCTTTAAATAAAAAAATAATTATTAAGCAAAGGTTCAATCAAGGAGGTGCAACATCGAATTTAACATGCTTTCATTTCAAACACCCTAATGAGATTTATTATAAATTTGTTGATGAAAAGATTTGTTGCAGTAATTTGGGAATTGAAAAAAATGATGTACTAGTTTGGCAATTTGATAGGGATGCAAGAAATCCGAAACTTTCCAGAACAGATGCTTCCAGATTGGACACTTCTCTCTCCATGCTAGCAAAACGGATGCACTAAATTCTTACATGAAATCACCACAAATTATACCAGTTAAGTAAGGAACCGAAATTTTCATTTATTTAATTAGTTAGAATTCAAGTGAGATTTAAAATCCTTAGTTATGCAGCTTGTTGTGTAAATGGAACACTTTTATGCCTACTTGGTGGTTTTACATACTTTGTGGGATTGAGGGAGACCAATGTTGTATGTTTTGGTGGGTTGCTTCTGCAACGCCTGCACCCGTGGCTTTGACGTACCTGCTGGTAATGGTTTTACTATTCGCTAGTTCTCACTGGTGTTTCTTTTGCATAACATCTTCTTCATGTTGTCTTAGAGTCTTACAGTGATTACATTACAGTGTGGATCGTGCAGATTGATGATGTTGCCTCCCGTGATAACTCGGTCGAGCTGTGTTGTCAAGACAAAATTTCATGCCATCTGTCTCTTCTGTCTGCAATAATTGTACCTCGCAATATCTATATGAAAAATTTAAATTTCATAAAATTTGTTTGATTTAAACGATTTTAGATTAATTTTAAAAAATTGTTTTTGAAAATAAAGTTGAAAAAAAAAACTTATTAGATAATTCAAATTATATGAAAAGGATAAAAGAAACTTAAAAATGATATTAATAACTTTATAATGATTGAAATAAATTATTATTGGTAAAAACATTGATATCTATTAATAAAAATAGAAAACTAAAATAGAAACATTTTTTACCAATTTTATTATTTTTTTAGTTTTTAAAAGCTAAAAAACAAAAATAATTTTAACAAAACAATTATCATTCAAGTGGTTTAGTTTTTAAAAACTAAAAAGCTAAACATTATTTAAAAATAATAAATAAACAAGTCTAAATATTTTAAAATTCTTTTTTTTTCAAATTTATGTTTTTTCTTCATATCTTTTTTTATTTACGGGAAAGAGAGAAGATTCATCACTCATAAGTACATTTTTATCTTATTCCTTAGAAGTAATGATTATGTGTTTCAAGACTTGTTAGTTTATCAAAGCTTAAAAGAGTTTATTGAGATGAATGAGATGTTTTATCCTGACTTTGTTAAAAATTTGTATTGGAGTACGAAGATTGTTAATGGAGTTATTCAACCTAGAGCTAAAGAGGTACAAATAGATGAGGAAATATGGACAAATATTGTAGGTTTTAAAATAGGAGGAGAAAATGTTAGTAGTGGCTTTGAAAATTTTAATAAACTAGCTGTTTTTAGATCTTGTCTTAGGAATCTAAACATTGCCAAAAATTATTCCATCTATAAAACTCGTTGAATGAAAAAAAGATGAAAGGTTGTTAATTTTTGTAATTACTTAGGTTTTTGATGTTATGAGGAACAATCATGTTTAACTGACATCTGAAGAAGACATGTATATAATACATGCTCTTAAATCAAGATTTCAAATTGATTGACTTGCTATTGTTAGTGATAATATGAGGAAATCATATAGGCTGCTTTTGTATCCATTACCTTATTCTTTTTTTTGTCAAGAGTTTTTTACTATGTTGGTGTAAATGAGGAGGAAGAATCGTTTACCATCATGAATCATACAAATGCAATAGAAAAATATATTCTTTACTACATAGGGATGTTAAAGAGAGATGATGGTTAGTTTTCTAAAGATGAAGAAGAATTTGTTAATGAAGGAGTAGAATCCATCAATGCAAACATTCCTATTTCCTCTATTAGAAGTAATTTTACTGTTTTTGAATAAAGTATGTTAGAGAAATTAGATAACATACATCTTTGAAAAAGGAGAAACATGAGTATTACTGCTATAGATTTGACAATTTAGATAATAAAGTATTCTCTATTCTATCGATACTACAACAAGAATAAGGTGACACTGAAATGGAAGATGACAGAAGTAATGATGAAGATGCCAGAATAGTTGAGCTATCCTCAAATGATGATGAATGATTAATTGCTTTATTTAATCATATGTTTTGCTTAAATAATTTCTTTGTTGGATTGTAATATTTGACATATAAATTTGTTAGTTTGTAACTCTGATATCATATATACATTAAATTTGACTATACTATTATTCTTTCACTCTATGTTTAACCTTTTTTTATTAAATTCCAAAAGGGGAGAAGAATTTATTGTAGAGCTGCTGAAAAATGTTGTATGTTATGCTGGTTGACCATCATAAAAAAAAAGGGAGAGATTGTTAATGAAGAAAAAAGAATGGTTGAAGAAATCATTTTTTGATGACATCTTTATAAGATAGCTAGGTAGTTGCATGAGTAGGTTTGATGTGAACATGACCTATAATAAGGGCTAGAGCAAGGGAAGAAAATGAAACTTTTCAACAAGTATTGTTGGTTAACCAAATTGTGTTTTGGATTAATCAATTAATGAGTTTTAGTTTGATTTTGTTTTACGTTGTAATAAGGACCCAATTGAAAATTTAGTTATCAGTCTTTGGGAGACCAAGAGGATGCATAGCTGATTGACTTTTGGATGCCACAATTTCAGTTCTAATCAATCATTAAGTAGTTTTCAATTCCTAGGTTAATAAATCATTATTAGCATTTATTTTCCTTTAATGAATATTTGTAACTCTGATGACAAAACTTCTTTATAAGTTGAACCATTTTTATCAGAAATAACAAGTTGAGTTTATTTTTAGAAATATTAGAGTTTGTCTCTTTTATCTTAGTGAGAGTGATTCTCCTAAGTTCTTGAGTGATTCAAGAATATTTGGTTGTATCAAAGGATTTTCACATCCTTTGTGTGTTGCCTTCCTTGAAAAGAGTGATTCTTTCCTTCCACCTTCTTTCTAATTCCTAAATTTCTTACAAGGTTCTAACCCTAAAGATCCTAAATTATCCCTTGCGATTCATATCAAGGTTTTTTTGTAAAGCCAAATGATCAAATTTTTATTAAAATAAAAAGGTAAAAAAATTAAAACTAATCAATTATGTTAAAACTAAATCTATATTAATCGATTAGATAAATACTTAATCAATTATATGACTTAAATTCATGTTTTCATACTATCTCGCTAATAATCGATTATGTAATTACACCTCTGTTTTGACATAATGCACTAATAATCGATTATGTTGGTACTTAATTAATTATATGACTTATTTGCAGTCTATCACTACATGCAAATAATTGATTAAATATTTTACTATTTGATTATCTAAATCGGATGTATCAAATTTAAAACTCTATAAAAAGATGTAAATTTTCCTCACCAAAACACATCTTTTATATACGATTAAAACATTAAAGAAAGCATTATCGTGGACATCAAGTTGTAAAATATTTTGAAGAAAATCAATCTCAAAAGAAAAAGATTATTTGACTATAGGATGCAGTGTTCGAAAAGTATAAGATGAAATTATTCTTTTCTTTCTTTTTTGTGAATCTTTATTGTATTTTAATGTATGTGAAGTGAACTACATCAAATTAGTTTAAAAATTGTGTAGATAAGTATTTTCAAGTGTTGTGATTTATTTTTAGATATTGTTTAAAGAGTATTATAATCAAAATTTACAAGTTATATTGTAATTTGGATACTAAATAAGTTTTGATGAAAAATTCAAGTTAAAATTGTTTGATCATTCTAAATATAAATTCAAAAGAATCGAATCAGCAATTTTTTTTTTTAGTATTTTTGTGATTTTAACACAATTCTAATTCTTTTATTAAGAAAAGATTTTAAATAATTGATTAGATTTAAAAAAAATAAAAGCTTTAATTCATCGTTTTTGGTATGTTAGACATTCCGGTTGGGTTATCAAAAGTTATAAAATAATATATTGCTGGTGTCAATAATTGTTTAACCTCATTCCTTTATTCCTTTCAAACGACAAAGCATAACATTTTGAATATTGAACACCATTATTGATATCCCCGAAGACAAGTTTCCACCGCCACACATGCTGCTAGGGAATTGGCTATAAAATCTTCTCAAGTCAATGGAAACTGTTGCATTTCACAAAAATTGGGAAACTGTGCTATATCAATAATAAAGCTTATAAAATCACATTTGAAAATTGCAATCAACCAAATGCTTATTCATGACCAATATCCAACCACGTTACATAGCCTTTCATTATTTTGTTAATTAATTGCTGATAGGTTGGCCAACAAGCTCTAATCTTTGTTGCCATTGCAAATTATCTTTGACCAAGAAAATGAGAGTCTCAGAAGGAGCCAAGAAAGTAATTTAAGGAAACAAAGCAAATAAATACGTATCTTGAGGCTTTGGACACGATGACAAGGACCACTTGATGATCCTTTAGTTTTTAAGCCCTTGATCAGGATTTCAATGACTAGTTGGCGACGAACACCCCAAAGTCCACAAAACAACAGAAGTTGAGGTATTGATTTGTCAATTTGAAGGCAACATCTACATATAAAATGAGTTGTATCTATGTTCCTTGATTGATAATATTAGGCTTCCACGGTTGTCCAAGACAATTCACCCCATAAAATCCGTGCTCATGATAGTGCAACTGTTCTATAAGTTGAGATACAGTAAGGTCAAGTAGGGCAAAGGTTATCACGACAACGAAAATATATATATAAGCTGCTGCTTCTGGGGCATCGTACCCTCACATTAACAAGGAGGACCTGCAATATTGTTGATGAGTAAGTTTCTTATTATCATCACCAACTTTCACATGTACATCTTTAATTATAGTCCATAAATTGAAGTACTTGTGCCAAAGAATATTGTAACTTTGGGTGCATGGGGTGTTGTGGTCTAGGTGTATGTGTTTTTTTTTTTCTTGCATGTATTGGATTTTATGGTCACTTAACATAAGTTTCCATAAATGATCAACTAGTTGCCAAAGCTTATGAACTTTAAGCCAACTCTTGATTTTTCTTCCAGGATATTACATCTATCTGTTGTTGATTGCAGAATTGGTTTCTTAATGGAGATGTCATTCATCAGAGAATTACCTTATATGGTAAGAATTAAGATATACATAGCTCTTTCGAGTAGTGATTTTTGGGTCTAAGGGAAGATATTTATGCTCTCTATTAATTAGTTGATAGTTGGTCATTTATTACATTAACAATGACTAAATAAATTGGAACCATTTAACACATGGGAGTTAAAATCTGGCATTTGGTTGGAAATTAAATAACAGATATCTAACATAGTTATTAGTAAAAGATGGAATAATTGAATCTTTTCTTGGCTAGAGCTTGGTTGTTGAAATTTCTTCATGAAATTAAGGTTTTCATGGTGTATATATTATATGTTTTTCTGATCTAGAAGGAGCAGGAAATAATGGAGGACACTAGTTTTCTCCATCAGTGGCACTTGAGTTCTATTGGTGACCCGAACTTACTGCCAATAGCTGCTGTTTTTGGAGACACTTTACAACATCATACATTTACTTATCCAGACCTCAATCCCCAAGCTTCTAGGGAAACTACACTTACTAACATTGAAAGGCCAACAAAACATCATAAAAACAACATTAGCTGGAACCCCAACAGAAGTGCTGCTCAGATATCATCAGAGACACAATTTGTTTCTTTCCCAAATCTTCTTCCGTTTATGGATTCCAATCACATAAGTCCATCGGGATTAGTGAAGACCGAGGATGAAATGGCTTGTCCTATAACTAATAACACAACTTCTCCAGACACGATCTCTCAAGGAATATTGGGGAATCATAACTATCTCTTCAAGGCCAGCCAGACCAAAAAGATTGGAACACGCACTAAAATTTCTCAACCTCAAGACCACATCATAGCTGAAAGGAAGCGACGAGAGAAGCTCAGCCAGCGGTTCATTGCTTTATCTGCCCTTGTTCCTGGATTGCAGAAGGTACAAAATATATTACTGTAAATTTTGCATGCCTTTCTGTGTTTCTTCTTACACTGTATATATGTTGTACATATTGAGCATATAGTCCTTCAAATTATGTAACTGGTATCATTTTTAGTTCTTAGATAACTTTAGCCCATAAAATTGAAAAGACTAATTTGATATGCCTTTGTATTATATTAATTAGAAACTACTATTTACGAGGATATCAAAATTTAAAAGAGTAGGAATACATTTTTATTATTTTGTGTCCATTCTGTGTGCTTCTATCACATACATTGGTCACATTTACCATATCAGACGGACAAAGCTTCTATTCTTGGAGATGCTATCAACTACTTGAAGCAATTGCAAGAGAAAGTAAGGGCTCTTGAGGAGGAACAAAACATGAGGAAAAATGTGGAGTCTGTGGTAATTGTGAAGAAATCTCAACTATCCAACGATGTTAACAACTCTTCTTCAGAATATGATGCTACATTATTTGACGAAACAATTCCTGAAATTGAAGCAAGATTCTGTGAGAGAAATGTCCTCATAAGAGTTCACTGTGAGAAGACCAAAGGAATTGTGGAAAAAACAATCCATGAAATTGAGAATCTCCATCTGAAAGTCACCAATAGCCATGCCATGACATTTGGGAGATGTGCCCTTGATATGACAATTATTGCTCAGGTAATAATTTTTGTCAATACTGAAAACCAACAATAAGGTGTTCCATGTATTGCAGTAACATCTGAAGTAATAAAGAAGCTTTTTCTTGACACTGCAGAATTGGTATAAATGGTTTTCTTTATATTTTGTCTATGTTGATTAAAAAAAAACATGTTTAATTGATATCTATGCCAGTTTTAACAATTATCTCAACTAAACTGTAATTTTCTTTCAATATGGTAAATATTATTTCTGCTACATACAGATGGATATGGAATTTTGCATGGGAGTGAAGGATGTTGTGAGAAACCTACGCTCAGCTTTTACATCTTTCATGTGAGAACGTTCTGTCAGTTCATATTAAACCAACTTCAGAAGCATAAGAAGAATAGGAGTTACGGTCATCTATATATACCAGTTTAAACCCTAAGTTCCTCAGTGATATTTGTTTATGGCCTTGTGTAATGTCCGTGATCTAATTCAACCATATTCTCCTTTTTGCACGATCAACTCGTTGACCATGTTGATGCTACCCAGCTGTTTCAAGTTTCAAGTTTCAACAGTTACTATACATCTGATTATGCAGTTTTTTGGGCAGGAGGTTGAAAAGTTCAACCTGTCTTTTTTATGTACCCAAATCTGATATTTCCTTTGCTTGTAAACAAAATGTGATTAGTAAAAGCTGTGAAAAGAGTTTCAGTATGGTTTGCAGGGAGGTTAACTTGAAACCTTCAATATAATATATTTGTTTACGTAAAAGGACATAAAAGTTAAAACTGATTCTGAAAGGGAAAAAATAAAATAAAATTAGTAATGAGTTTTGTAACTTAATGAATATAATTTTTTTTTTAATATAGAAATGATAGTTGTTAAAATAACTGTGAAATTATATTTTATAAATGGAAGTTCAAGAAGAATTTCACATGGGCTGCTTAACCTAATTCGATGGGTCGAATAAAATAAAACAATTTTGCCAGCTCGACTCGTTCCTGTATCAAACTTACGAATTAATTGGTCCAATTTATATGTATTTTTAAATTCAACTCACATAAAAATAATAATTTTATTTTTTAAATATAATGTGTTCATATATAAATTCAAGTCATATATATATATATATATATATATATATATATATATATATATATATATTCAAATAAAATAATATTATTTTTAATTTACAAAAATTATGATTAATATTTTTCACTCTGATCCGTCTCATTTTAAGGATTATTCGAGCTAAGTAGATTGTTTTTTTGCAAGGTGTAGTTCACATTTAACTTAAAAGCTTGTGCTTATATTTTTTTATATATAAGATAATTAATTTATTAAACAAAATAAATCATGTCCAAAATTTACATAAGATGGAACAAAAAATATAACTTAGAATGTGTTCTTACAAGGTCGAATACTAATAAATTATTCTACTAGATCAATCATCAGAGTCTCGATCATTGTCTTCTAGTTCTCGTTCCATATCTTAGTTTTCAGTATCCAGTTTTCGGTTCTGATGCGCATGGAGAGATACCTACAAAGATACTCTGACGCTCAAGTTAGTGAGAGTATGATGTGTTAACAGAGTGTTTATGAATCAACCATCCTACCTTTCTTATAACTACTACAAAGTATTTATATGGTCGTGACCGGGCGGTATCGTCTGAGTCTTCTTGATGTGAGACTATATTGAGTCCTCTACTGCATTACAGTACATATGTCTCGAAGCCTAAGTTGGCCGTCATAAAAGGCCATGACACACTTCGAATATTTGAAGTTTATGTTGCGGCGGAGGGTTTTTCAGCTTTTTAATCCCTCATTCCGTCATTGCAACCCTTTGTCATCCGACATGTCCTCGGTCTTCTTGGGTTTAACGTCTGAGATGACTTCGATCATATGAGATGAGGTGGCATGGGAAATAAATGGTGAAAATTTTTGAAATGATTTCCCTCACTCCAATTCCCTCGTTAACATGAATCACTAATCCAAAGAAGATCGAACAACTAAGATTGTAGAAAGGTCTTATTTTGCGTGTTTGCCTATATATAATGGGACAACTAATGACATTTCTTATGTTTTTTGGCTTTGTGATATCCTACTCCATGAAGTATTATGCCTTCTTCTGCTAACATGACTTACTCTTACTCTTTCCTTTCTTCTTCCTCTTATTCCAAGAAGTTTGCGGGTGCATCGTCAGTGCGGGTGGGGGTTGTGTCGGTTGACCACTTGAAAGGGAACCGTGTGGAACACACCTCCTCTGACTCATCGGCTATAACTACTAATGACTTGGTCAATGTCAGGGGTTTCCCTTCAGGCCATGTCATTGAAGGTACTGACATCAATCAGGTTGTTGAGGATTTAACCAAGTGCGAAGGTTATGACTGGGTGGATCATCGCGTACATAGTTACTACTCGAAGTATCAATGCCTGAGCTTACTGAATTGTACATTGAGTACCAAAATCTTCTATCTGAGGGTGTCCCAAATACAATGATCACGCTTCGTAGCTGTGATGCTATGGATAATGTTTGCCACGACCGAGAGAGTCATATGAAATATGTCTATATGTATTCCTACTTGTTCTCGGACTTACATATCCATCTCCACTTTGATGATTTTACGATGGACATTCTTCGTGTGTTGAATGTTGCTTCAACTCAATTGCATCCGAATAGTTGGACTGCCTTATAAGTGTTTTGTATTTTGTGTAAGGGCTTGCGCTTACGAATGACGCCTCAAGTATTTCTTTCTCATTTTAGTACTCAGTCAGGTTCACCTGTGAACTAGATATCTTTGATTAGCCAGCCAGCTTCCGCCATCTTCTCACCCTATGCATCCTCGTACAAGAACTTAAAGGAAAGCTTCTTTAAGGTGGTCCTTCGGCCTCCCGACTAAGGGTATTTTTTTTAGGATGACCAGCCTCGGTTCCCGTTGTATTGGACTCTCGATCCCTTGCACTTCAAAAATTGGCCCAGTTCCAAGATGTCCTCTAAAGACGTCAAGATGTTGGGAATTCTCGACCAGCTACCCCACTAACTACCCACCCGAATACTTCTCGATGTCTATTTATCTCCTTGTCGTCTTTCCAACCTCGAAGGTATGCGTTATTTTATTTGAAATCGTTTTCCCTTCGTTTGTTTGACCCTTTGTGGAATATGGGTTTTTCACAGATATCATGTCCATCGAGATTCCTGCCAACAAAAACCTTTTTCAGAAATTTCATCAACAAGCTGGCAACGCTTTTAATAAAGGCAAAGGGGTCACCATTGTTGTTCCTCCGGCTGAACTGCGCTCTCCTTCTGATGCGCGCAAAAAACACAAGAGGAAGGAGAAAGAAAATCATCGCAACAACTCAAGTCCTAACTCCGCCCTCTACTCCTCCAACCGATTTTTTGGCATTGACCATCACATCAGTTCCAAGGTGATTGTGGATATGTTAGCTGCCGAGAAGGATCTTTATATGAATGTCGATCACCAGGAGATGCTCCAAGCCTTCATTGAGCTCCAAACCCGTGCGCTTGTCCTCAGTAAGCATTTAGGCATGGATGTTATCAAGAGTGATGAGGGCTCTGACCTCGCCTGCTTGAAGGGAGAGCTCGCAGAGACGTTGAGCACTCTAAAGGAGGCCTTGGAGATGAATTCAATGTTAAATGCCGAGATCAGTGAGTTCGTGGGAAGATCTCAGCCATTAACCTAGAGAGACACGCGTTGCAGGAGGAGCTAGCACGAGCCACAGAGGAAAATAAGGTTGCGACCGCTAAGATGATCGAATTGTCATCTCTTTATGAGGCAGAGGTTGCCGTGAAGATCTCGACAGAGAAAGATCTTGCTGAAATAAAGGACTACATAGTCCAAGAACATATCAAGGACTTTAATAAGACCATTCGCTAGATGCATCATTTTGTCGAAGTGGGATGCCACTGGGTGAGACAAATTTTGACGTTAAGTACGCATTCATAACGGTTCCCTCGTCCATATTGGTGATCTTTCAGAAGATTCTTAGTGTTTTTTGTTTGTTTATTTTTCTTTGGTAGGGTTGTTTCCGGATTTTTGTAATGACTTATGCACTTTTTGTAGTCAACTTTTTGTATGTTTCTTATATGCATGAATGGAAGTGATCGACCTTTTGTACTTGTGCTTCTTACTACACTTGTTTATTTTATTTGTTTTACGTGTGATGTTAAGTGATGCTTTTATTTTAGGAGGGATTGTTCGATGGATAAACAAAAACATCCTTGGCCATGTTGTACTCGAGAGGGTTCATCGGAAGTGAATCGTCCAAACCTGAGATATGCTTAGTATGTGATGGAACGATTATGCTTTTTTTTTTTTTCATGCCTCATTAAAACCTCCACAACCAAAACCATTTTCGGGAAAAATGTTGGTGGTAGGAAAGAGTATATGTTGATACAAGGCATACACTTTTAGCTAAAGTAGAATTTGAGTAGGGAAGCATGTTAAATGTGTGGTATTGATTTGTCGGACAAATCTTTTAGGCAGTATGTGCCTTTTCCTAGCGCCTCTCCTACCTTATAGGGGTCTTCCCAATTGGACGAGAACTTCCCTTCTGCTGGATCCTTCCTAGCGGTGCCTCTCAAGCGAAGCACTAGGTCACCTTACCTAAAACACCTCAAGCGTACCTTAGAGTTGTACTTTTGCATCATTTGTTGCTTGGATACTACCTCTCAAATGGTTGCCCGATCTCTCCCCTCTTCAACAAGATCCAACTCTATCCTCACATTTTGTTTGTTCTCTCCCTGGTCGAATAATTATCGACGTAAAGACGTTTTGTCGATTTCAATCGAAATTATGGAATTCATGTCATATGAGAGATTGTATGGGGTTTCTTCAGTTGACGATTGGGGGTACATCGATACGCCTACAATACTTTCAAGAGCTTTTCGACCCATGTTCCTTTTGCCGCTCCTAGTCTCTTCCTTAGCTCGAGTAGAATCACTTTGTTGGTCGTCTCTACCTGTCCATTGGTTTGGGGATGCTTGACAGAACTAACCCTATGAGTAATGTGCAAACCTGTGTAAAACTAGGATAATTCCTTATCTACAAACTGTTTACCATTGTCGTGGTGATGAAACAAGGAACTCCAAACCTGCATATTATGTTCTTCCACGTAAAACATTGGACTTGCTGGGCGGTAATTTTTGTGAGGGTTTGACTTTTATCCATTTGTAAAATAGTCAACAACTACTAGGAGAAACCTGCATTGCCCCAGTGCCAGGGGAAAGGGGATGATTATATTCATACCCCAAACCGTGAATGGCCAACCGGTTACAATGGACCATAGTTACTCGGGATGTGAGTGTATTGTTGGTCTGTGAACTTGACACTCATGACATTGTTGGGTGTACATTTGGCAGTCAGTTCGTAGTGTTGGCAATAGTCGCTTGCCCTTAAAACTCTGACAACCATTGTTTGTCCTTTAGAATGCAGGACGTATATTCCCTTGTGTAACTCCTCCATAACGTACTCTACTCAGGAAATTAGGATGCATTTTAATAAAGGTGTTATAAGTCCTCTTCTGAACAACTCTCCCCATATCAACACGAATTTCGTTGCCTTCCTTCGAAAGGTCCTCGCTTTATTCAGACTAGAAGGCTCTATACCATTGATGATATACTCCCGGATAGGTGTCGCGCAATAGGGAGTTTTCCCTATTTCGTAACATTGGGACTCGTCGACTGTAGGCTTATTTAACGTTTGTTGGATAATATACTTGAGATGGTCTTTTTGTTTACATTTGACAAGTTTAGAAAGTCGATTGACCTAAACATTGTTTTCCCTGCTAATGTGTTCCACCCTTACCTTTGTGAACTCTATCAACAATCCTCTTACCAAATGATAGTATTTAATTAGTTGGGGATCCCTTACCTGATACTTTACAGATACCTATTTGACCATCAACTTTGAATCGATCATGCATTTAACCTTCTCTGCTCCCATTTCTTTTGCCAGTTGGATCCCGACCACCAATGCTTTGTAATCTGTCTGGTTGTTGGTCATTTTGAAGTTGAACAATAGTGATTGCTCGAGAGTGAGTTTCCCAGGTTTGTCAAGTACAATGTCGACTCCACCCCCCTGTGTCTTGGATGATCCATCTACATACAAGACCCACCATGCACTCGTTGTTGAAATTCTAGCTTTCACAGTACTTTGACAATCAGGTATATTAGTAATGACTCTGTCAAACTTGATTGGTCGTAGTTACTAAGACTAGTGCCACCTTCTCCATTTGTAGATATCGTGTCTTTGTCTCTTGGAGCACTCTGCTGACAAAGTAGATGGGATCATGCTCGTTCTCGCGCTCTTGGACAAGAACTGCACTTACAGCTTCTTCGGACATGATGAGGCATACTAATAATGGCTCTGTCGATCTCAACTTCTATAGGACTAGAAGGGATGTTAGGTATTCTTTTAACTTTTTGAAGGCCTCCTCGACCGCCTCATTCCACACAAACTTCTTAGCTTTCTTAATCACCTTTAGTATGGATTGTACTTCATCAGCTAGTTTCGGGAGAAACCAAGCCAATGTCATGATTCGTCTAACTAGTCATTGGACCTCTTTTACGTTTCGAGCACTCTTCATGTCGATGACAACCTAACACTTGTCAAGGTGTGTCTTTACCCCTTTGTGCGTAAGCATAAATTCTAAAAACATTCCACCATCAATCTTGAATACGCACTTTTATGGATTTACGCATTTTAAAAGTTCTCAACACATGAAATATTTCTTTCAAATCCGCAACATGATCCTCTCCATTACCCGATTTTATGACCATATCATCTACATAAACATACATGTTACTACCGATTTGTTCCCAAAACATCTTGTCCATCAAGCATTGGTATATGGTCCTGACATTTATCAACCCGAATGACAACCTCGTAGTAGAAATTTACAAATTCGGTCATGAAGATTGTTTTTTTCTTGTTTTGATGCATGGGTATTTGGTTGTATCCCGAGTACGAGTCCAAGAAGTTGAGCACTTGGTGGCTGGTTGCTCCATCTACTAGTCGATCGATACAAGGCAACAAGTATGTATCCTTCGAGCATGTTGCATGTTTTATTGAGGTTCATGTAGTCAGTGCATATTCGCCATTTTTCGTTGGCTTTTTTCACCAGTACCACATTTGACAGCCACATTGTGTATTGGGTTTCATTGATGAATCCAACCTTCAGTAACTTATCAACCTCTACTTGCACCACTTATCGACGCACCTCACCCATTTTTCACTTTTTTTGAGCTATCGATCTTACTTCTCGACAAACTCCAAGCCAATGAGATATGATTTGGAGATTTATGCCTAGTATGTTAGTGATCGTCCATGTGAATAGGTCAACATTTTTTTATCAATGTTTGTCTTATTAACTTTGGATCTTTCCTCTTCAAGCTCGTCCCTATATGTGTGTTTTGCCCCTTACTCCCCATTTGCACGAGAACGATCTTTTCTCTAGGCTCCACACGAATGTTGTCACTAGTGCAGGGATCTAGATTTATCATTATTATCGCTTGTAATGATGCGTTGGCTCGCATGCTTGATGGTGGTAACAGTTTAAGGCTCGCTAAGTAACACTCTCGAGTTGTTCGTTGGTCACCGTGTACCATGGCTATCATTCCAGAATTGATTGGAAACTTCATTGCTAGGTGCAATGTGGATATTATGGTTGCGAGAGCATTTAACGCAGACAACCGAGGAGGATGTTGTAGGAGGAGGGTTGCATTGACTATCAAGTATCTTATCTTGATTGTACAAATATCTCGGCTACCTTCGCCAAACTTGGTGTAAAGATCCGTGTATCCTCTTGTATCGACCCTCTCCCCTGAAAATCTGACAATTTATTCAAAATAGGGAGGTATGGCGTGGTCTACTAGTTGAAATTGTTGGAAAGTATTCCAAGAGAGGATATCGACTGAGCTTCCCTGATCCACTATCACCTTACGAATTACATAGTTGGTGGTTTCTACTGTTATGACCATGGGATCGTCCTGAACCAAGAGCATTTAACGTCGGACAACCGATGAGGATGTTATAAGAGGATGGTGCGTCGACTATCAAGCATCTTATCTTGATTGTATGAACATCTCGGTTGTCTTCTCTAAACTAGTGTAGAGATCAATATGCTCTTGTATCGACTCTCTCCCCTAAAAATATGACAATTTATTCATAATAGGGGAGTATGATGTCGTCCGCCAATTGAAATTGTTGGAAAGTTTTCCAATAAAGGATATGACTAAGCTTCCCTTATCCATTAGCATCTTACGAATTGCATAATTGGTGGTTTCTATTGTTATGACCATGGGGTCATCTTGGATCGGATCAATTACATGATAGTCATCATTTGTGAAGGTGATGGTCAACATAAAGCCTCGTCGGATTGACGTGGTATTCACAGTTCTCACCACTCTTAGATTCCTTTCTCTGGCACCGTTCGAAGTTCCTCCAACTGCAAATCCTCCTGTTATGCTATTGATTACCCCTCTCAGATTGCTTCGCGTCTCTTCGCACTCCAGGTTTCTTTACCTCTTTCTTCCATCCGCCTCTTCATAATTTTGGGGTCATTGTCCGTCGAACTATTGGCTACTTCTTTTTACGAATTTATGCAAGTCCCCCGCCTGAATGAGTTCGTCAATCTTGTCTTTCAGGGCAACAAAATCCTCTATGGTGTTGTTGTAGTTGCGATGGTACCGACATGCTTATTGCGGTTGGCATGTGGGGGAGTTGACACCTTCTTGTCGTCCAGATGAGTTTTGCATTCAACGCTTCTTCTAAACCTCATTCACGATTGGTGGTCAGGGGGATATAATGAGCAAATCGGAGGGGTCTCGGGATTGTGTTTTGGGACTGCACCTTCTTTCCATGATCCCTCTCGACTAGTTTGACATCCAAAGAATTACTTGTCATTGCCTCATCGCGAAATTCCCTTAACTTTTCTAACTACATGAACTTTGTCGTCTTTCTTCGTTGTTCATCGAGGTCTTTGACCAACTTTTTGCACAAGTTGTCCGCGAAAGGTCCAGGTTGTAAAGTCATTACCAAATGATGTAAGGCGACCTTTGGATTTAGATTCCTTATATTAAGGGTTATCTTGTCAAATCTTTTCATGAAAGCCCTGAGGCTTTCCTGCCTTTCCTTTCTTATCTTAACTAAAGCAATCGAGGTGAGATGATGCAGTCGGCTTGTGGCAAATTATGTCCCAAACTTACTTACCAGAGTTTTGAAACAATCGATCGAATACAGGGGTAGCCTTGCGAACCAGTTTAACACATTGTACCCTTTAGCGAGATGGGACAAACTCGACATAAAATTGTGTTGTCAGCCGAGTAAAGGTTTATCTGTCACATACACATCTATGTGCTCGCTCGGGTCTGTCGTCTCATCATATCAGTCGATCGTTAGTCCTTTCCACAAGGATGGCAAAGGGACTTCGGAAATTCCATTTACAAATGGGTGTCGTTGCAGTTTTGGTCTAGGGATGGGGTTTGAGTACTCTTTCTAAGGGAGCACTCAAATTGGAGTATGCACACGTTTTCTCACCTGGTGAGGATGGCCGGGAGCTATACGGCTACTCTCGCATTCTCGATGTCCTAGGGCTTCCCAGATCATGCTCTCCTTCCTTCTCTTCTAGTCGTTTCCTAATTCGATCATTCTCCCTTTTCAGCGTCATTATTGCCTTCGAACTCTCTTTGTTAAAGTTTTCAAGTTCGTTCCTCAACTTAGCTAGGAGGGTCGCTTCAGTGGACTGATTTTCCTTTCTCTGTGGGCTTTGACGCTCCATGTTAGTCATATTTCTGGTAGATACCATTAGTTGTGTTCCTACTCCGCCCCACTGTAGGCGTTAATTATGTTCTTACAAGGCCGAACACTAATTGACTATGCTACCATATCAATCATCGAAGGTCTCAATCGTCGCCTCTCAATCCTTGTTTCGTACCTCTCGATTCTCAATATCTGGCTTTCGGTTCTAATGTGCGTGAAGGGGTACTTGCAAAGATACTCTGACGCTCAAGTCAGTGAGAGTATGATGTGTTAACAAGGTTTTTATGAATCAGTCATCCTACCTTTCTTATAACTACTACAAAATATTTATATGGTCATTACCAGATGATATCATCTTGATCCTCTTGATGTGAGACTATATTGAGTCCTCTAGTGCGTTACATTACAAAACGAAAGTATTATCTTTTAGGTAGTGACGGATCTTGACCATTGATGTTGGGGAACCAAATAATATATTATTAATAAATAATAAATAAATATAAAAGAAAGAAAGAAGATGAAATGGTGAAAGGATAAAATTGTAGATATATACTTAAATATATTAAATGATCATTAAGTTTGAGGGACAAAATCATAAATTATATGAGAGTTACAAAATTGATGAGGGGGATAAGAGGATAAAATTGTAAATAAACAAGTAAATATATTAAATATTCATTAAATTTGAGAGGCCAAAATCATAAGTTACATAGGAGTTACAAAACTTTGGGAGATCACTACCCCTCAGTTCCCAATAATATCTGTCACTACTTTTAAGGTTAATTATAAACGTATTTAAATGTTTTAGACTTTTCTTTTCATTTTAATAACATTTATATTGTCATGTCGAAGAGGCACCTCTTTGCACTTAATAAAGTGCATAGTCAACTTCTTAATTTTGTTCATTAACATGAAAATTAAAACAAAAAAGTGTTGTGCGTGTTGTTGTGTTTGTTTCCATGTAAGTGAATTTAAGATCATAAATTTGAGAGAGGAAGTGGACGAAGATTCCTCAATGAGCAGAGGATATAAAGTGATAAAAGACAATTCTCCTCGTATATACTTATATAATAATTCTTCTTTTTAGAATGAAGAATTGATTTCATCACATTTATTGAAAAAAAAATCTTAATTACTAATACAAGAGAATTGATTCTTCCTCTACTCATACTTAATTTGATCCAATTTTGTTAAAGGAAAATTGTATTTATTTATGGAAGGAGAATAGATTCTCCTATTTAATAATAATAATTATTATTATAACAATACAAATAATAATTATTATTATAATAATGATTAAATAAAAATAATTATAATAGTTATAATATTTTAAATAATAATAATATTTATAATAATAAATATATAAATAATAATGATTATGATATTAATAATAATACTAATTATTATTATCATTATTATTATCATATTAATAATTAAAATAAAAATAATTTAAATAATTATAATAATTTAAATTATAATTATAATATTAATAATAATAATTTTTATCAAAAAGATAATTTCATCATTTTTAAATTTATTTTATAAAAATATTTTTTTATCATTCCACAAATTTTCATAAATTTTCCTCTCTTTTTCCTATATTTCTTATTATATTTCTCTCAATTCAAATAACCTCTCTTTACCCTCTCTCTCTCTCTCTCATATCAAATCTATTATTTTTCGTTCGTTCAAATACATCTCCACTCCAAACTATACTTAAAAAAGAATTGAGGAAAAGCTTACATAAAACGTTGATGGGTAGAAAGTAGAAAATAGCCTAAGCATGAAAGTGGTGCATAATTGGCACACTTACCCTGCAATTCAGAAGGGTTCAAAACCCACTATAATATTTAAATACCTTATGGTTAGGTTCTGGCATCAACCTTGCCATTTTTTTGCATATACAGCATAATCTAAAAGAACAAAAGAGCCATTACTATTTATTTTGCACTGTCAAATACTCAAATGTCATATCCGTGATCATCAGCACTAACGGATGATACCGAAAATTTAGAGTACTATTTTTAAGAAGAAAATAAAAAAAAATCTACTATGAACAAAGGGAAGCATTACAGAATGTCCTTATTTGGAAGAGACAACTAGGTTTTTCTGGTCACATTTATTTTTGGATGAAGTCTATACCCTTCTGGATGCTTCCCGCTAACTCTCTCTTTGCTTTTTCCAACCCAATCCTGTTAAGCATTACAAAGCAAAACTTTCACTGTCTATACTGCTTACTGTATCCAAGAAAATAGGGAATAGATTCATATAATATGATACCTTTCATACTCGTTCAGGGGGCCTAGTTGATAAATCTCCTCTGCTCCAGCACGACCCAGACGTACCTTGGTTGCAAAATAGGGAAGTTCCGTAACCTATTGAAAGCATAGGATACTGTTAAACAAGATCTAAAAGAGAAGATGAAGAACAAGTTCAGGGAAAGGAGGAGGTGAAAATGGAACCTGAGAATCAACAAAAGCACACTCCACCACCCCATCTTCTCCTTTTAAGCCACGGAGGCATGCGTTAGCAAACTTGGCAGCTGCATAAGCCTACACAATCAGGAATGAGATTTCAACTTTGCCTGTTTATCTACTATGAAATTGGCACTTAATTGATAATGCATGTGTAGAAATATGAAGAAAAAGTTGATAAATTATTAACCATTGATAGTGTTGCAGAACCAGCCCCAGCTTTCGCCTGTTAACATGAATATTAATTGTTAGTAGATTACGATGAACATTCCATCTCAACCAAAAATAGAGAGGAAAATAACAAAAATCTATTTTAGATTTCTTTAATATATAAGGTCATGGATACGGAAACATGGTTGAGCAGTAGAGATAATATATTCAGACCAGCAATGTGTTAGGATACAAAATAACTACTGTTTAAACATTGTTTGGGTATTTTCACTTCTTTGAACATCTAAAGCAAAACATTACAGTCAAGTGTATACTCTTATGGTATTTGTTTGGGTAACTTCACTTGTTTGAATATCTAAAGCGAAATTGACAGCTCCTGTGATGATGAAGAAAATTGAAGTAGTTGCCCCAATCTAGTATTATCCTAGCACCTTAGACAACTTATAGTTGCAGCATCATACTATATTTACTCTACCCTCTATCATTATTGCACAGTTAATCTGGCATTAGGCAGATGTTGGTAATGGTAACTGAAAAGAAGGAATCATAAAAGTTGATATTGACACTATCTGTTATCAACTCGTCCTACATATGACCATAAGGACAAGCACATATTTATATGACCATAAATTATCAATATATTATATGCAATGAATCTTATGAATTATCCCTCTTCTAATCCATTTACATGTCTGAGATATAGATTCTAATGACTTACCTCCACAACTTCAGTTCCACCATTTTGAATGCGATTTGTCAGGTATTCAGTTTCTTCTGCAGTGAAGCTACTGGGAGGCTTAACCTGTAAAACCAAGTTTGAATAAGTTTCAAGACCTGTCTGTTCTATAATATTTTTGAAATTAAGGGAGAGTATTCTCTACAAGACCTGTGACAAAAGAGGTAAAATTGTGACTCCAGCATGACCTCCCACCACTGGAACATCAACCTCTCTTGGATCTACTCCAAGTACCTCTGCCTGCAAGAAGAAAACATGGCGGGACATACACCAGCCTCTATTCATACAATTCCACCATATACTATAAAACTCTCACAACGTAGAAATATCTGCTCTGTTTTGTAATACTTTTCAAAACCATGTAAACAAACAAATTTAATTCAACAGTGAACTCAAAATTTGATTATACTTTTAGCTTGTAGTCTTTTAGATATTTTATTTCTACAACACAACATGAACGAAACTTAAATGAGTTATAGTCTGTTTGAATAAGAACAGCACGCAATGCTTACCACAAAAGTATTTGCCCTCACAACGTCAAGGGTTGTAACACCCAGTAGTCGCTTTGGATCATATGTGCCGGCTTTCTTGAAAACCTCTGCTGCAATAGCAACAGTGGAATTCACTGGATTACTTATCAAGTTGACAATTGCATTGGGGCAGCACTTTGCAATTCCTTCACAAAGGGTCCTAACAATTCCAGCATTTATTTTAAATAAATCATCCCTAGTCATCCCAGGTTTCCTTGGCACCCCAGCAGGTATGATTACCAAGTCCATGCCAGTGAGTGCACTCTCGAGTTGTGGCTGTCCCAGAAAGCCACGAACCTAAAATCCCAAAAAACCATGCATTATTTGAACAAATAGCACCTAAACATTGCATCATCAAATTTTTGTCAATAAAGCAATTCCTTGATCCATAAAATAAAACCCGCCTCAAAAAATCCCCATCAGTCTTGTGAACAATTTGATCGACAATCGATAATTGTATGAGAAGGAAATTACCACAGCACCAGTGTCCATGTGGCTAATATCAGCTGTGACACCAGGGGTGTTGACAACATCATAAAGATGAAGAACTGAAACCAATGGGTTCATCTTTATCAACAAAGAGAGGGATTGACCAATTCCCCCAGCAGCCCCCAAAATTGCCACTTTGAATCCAGGAGCCCCACCCTTTGCTCTGCACTCAGCTCTCTTGAGAAGAACATCACTCCCATCCTGTCACAACAAATTAAAACTTGTTTCAAATAAAGGAATCTAAAACTTATTTATCATGCAAGGAACACAGATCCATTCACTGTAACAAGTGATGTTAATTAGAGGAAGAAACCTGGAAATTTGGAGGCTGAAGATGAGCAGAGATTCTTGCAATACGCTGATTGGCTCCTGCACTTGCCTCCATTTGTAGGTATTACTGTTACAATTAGAGAGGTGGAAATTTGAAAAACAAATGAGGGGAGGAAAAGAATATAAATTTATCAACAGAAAATAAAATGAATGGATAATGAAGATAATAAGAATGAGGAAGTTGACATATATGTCCAAATTTTTTTCCCTTTTAATTATTTTTTCTCAAAAAATGAATTTTTTGTGTGGAATCCAGTTTTCTGAACCCTTATCCTATCACCTTCTTAGGTATATCAACTGAATGTGGATCTCACAATTTTGGAACCAGGCTTCCATCAGCTTCTGTGGGCGTTGCCTACTGCTAACTATTCTCATTCCAACACCCATTCCTGATTAAGATGGCTGTTTTTCAGTCACAACCTGACACATTGCCTAAATGGTTAAAAAAATTGTTTGGTCACTTTAGCTTGGGTTATCTTACGAGGTAAGATCAGTTGGTTGATGAATCAAAATGAATTAAAATTTAGAAACATTGAATTAGAAAAAGGAAATGATGATTTTCTATTACGTATTTCTCCTAATATATCATATTAGATCCTAATCTTATTTATAATATTATTATGCTTATAGTTGACTCAATAAAAACTTTCCACGTCATAGAAATCAAATTCATCAATTCCTGATAGTACAAATCGTATTGGGTTAACTTAATCCCTTAACTTGTGAGTGGATCCGTATTAAATCATTAAATTTAAATTAATTTGTTTTTTATTCGTCAATATCTCCACCCTCAAGCATGTATTTTTGTCATACCCAACCACTTCAAGTTTAATATAACCAAGTATTATTTTTTCCAATACCCATTTTAGGTTTTTACTCTCAACCTACACCAACTCTTCTTAAATGGCTTGGAATATACTAAATATAATCGACATAGTTTATAAGTATGATTCTAAAAAAGTCAAAATATTATCATAATATGGATATTAGCGGGCTTTGATGAACTTAATTGCTAATTTTTTTATATATATTTTTATTCACTTACTCTCTTTTATATTGCAAAATTTATAATTGAAGTTGGATTTGGATATGAAAAGAGGAGATATATTTTTAATTAAGTCAAATATTGATAATTGTTTGGTCAAAATAATATGATATTTTATATACTTTGGTATTTCTCTTAATTTGAATATAATTTATTTAAATTAAATAATGTGTAGATTAGGCTTTTTGTACTTCATAATAAATGTAATTAGATGAATCTTAGCTAGAATTTGTCAAGACCTCTAAATTAGTTCATATTTCATTGTTAAATAAGAGAAAATGTTAGTTACAAGAGTTAAGAATTTCTTACATTTTCTTCACTAGATCTAGATCTAAATATGTGCAAGAAGCTTGGATAATCTCTAAAAGAAGATTAAAGAATATTTTTCATTAATCAATTGAAGATTTTTTACCTAATTTTGATTAGAATTTGATATTTTAATTTGTTTAATGATTCAATATTTTTCTTAGTCTCTTTATTTCCAATTCTTAACTCATCGTGATCAAGATAATTTTTATAAAATTGAGATATTTTCTTTCTTATCAGGAAGATGTATTTTCTTGTATTAAAACGTATTCTTTTATTGAGTTTAGATGTACTATTTTAGTAAGTATTCAGTAAGTAAGGATTATTGCAAAAACATTTCAATGTTCAATTTAGGTGAGATGATAAATGTGTAATAAGCAAATAATAAATATTTGCCAATTTATAATATTTTAATGGGTCTTTACTTATATAAGTCTTATGTATGTAAGACAGTGTTAATCACTTAATTAATGTAAAACAATCTAATTACTTATCTAAAATAATTATAATATGTGATTGAGATTTTTTAGGCATTGTAATATGTGATTATATTTTTCTAAAATATCGTGATTATATGATTGATGTCTTCTCGTGAATCATACTGATAAGAAAAGACAATAAAAAAGAAATGTGAGAAATAAAAAATTTATTTCTTAGTTGAGATCCTATAACATGTCATTCTATATATTAGTCAAATTATGATAGTGTCGTATCTAGGTGGTCTAGATGATTTATACTCATATGTGTTTTAATACTAATAAATATAATTAAGTTTTATGATAATAATTTTCATTTAAGACATACTCAGACTATCTTATAAGGTAGAAAATTATCAAAAGATTTAAAGTTATGACATTCATGTTTCATTAAACAAGTCTACATCAACTATTGAGGTTGATCCTAACATTCTTTGAAGAAAGCTACATTGTTACAAATTAATCAACAAATCTAGATATTGAAGCTAAAATCATTGAAATCATTTGAGAATATTCATAACTATTTAAGGCAATGATTATGTTAATGTTATATGCTTTATGATGCTAAAAAAATTGCATGTGTTAGAAAAAATTCATGAACAAAAAAAAACTAGCATGTAAGCTCTCAAAACTTCTTTTAGCTTCTGTTTGTTTCCATTGATGTACTGTTGATGAAGACAGAAAGATGAGGATCACACACGTTTGGTTCACAAGAAATGCAACGAAATGAAAAAGAGGAAAAACGGAAGATGGGACAAAGAGGTTCCTCGTTGATGCATGAAGAAAGGAGATGAAAGTCACCTGGACAAATTGAAATGTCCAACTTACCCTCACTCTGCAAGATTCCTTGGTGCATGCATGTAAAGAGATTCCTACGAATCTCTGCAAAAAGTTGAGAATCTCTTCAAAACTTGTTTCACGTGTTTCAACAGGGTTTCAACCCTATTTGTATGACCCGTGATCACAAGCAGAAGTTCTCACGCCATCCTCCATTACAGTTCTCATGGCAGCCTCCATTGAAGCTATCGAGAAGGTCAATATGTGCTACGCAATCTTAGGTAAGGTTAGTCCATGTTTTTATCATGCAAATGTTTCACCCCATGTCATACATTCAAGCTCAATTGAACCCTCCATGTCACACATTACAACTACAGTGATGATCTTTGTTTTCAACCTCCATTGAAGGTCTAACGAATAATATAGGTAAGCTTCTCTTTTATGGTGCCAACCATAATCAATTATGGTGCGTCTTCTTCCTTCGACGGCTTATGTCTCATCGTTTTGGCGCCAGACTCTGCTCCGGTGGGCGCCTCTCTAGCTGCATGGTGGGCCTCGTGGCTGCAGCTGGTCCAGTCGTGTGCATGCATGAGAGGAGGCCAAACCTCCTCGACTCCAACAGAAAATGGGCAGTATACGACCATGGTTTCTGACTTTTGCATTGATTATGTTGTTGTTGCAGGCTGTATCTTAGGGGCGTCGTCAAGTTCGCCGTCAGCTTGTCCCACGAAGAGCTTCGTTCATATCTTTTCTAACAGGTATGGTTGATGTGTTGTCTTCCATGGTTGCAACCTGAAACTGGTTCTAATGGTGTTGTATTCCATGCAGGGTTGAAGTAAAAATTGGTAGCTACTGCATGCATGCATCTTGGAAGCAAAAACTGGGAATGATGGAAGCAAAAATTGAAACGTAAAAATGGAACCAAAAACTCTATTTTTGTAATTATAATTATTGTATGGAAATTTTGAATTTTTTTATAGATACTTGAAAAGAAAAAAAATAATTGAGAGATCAGAAACAAATTTAATAAAAATTATGGCAGACATTGTTAATGCATAATTAAATAAGGAAAAAAAGTTAAATATAGTTATATTTAAAAAATAATTTTTTTTATAACAGATGAAATATGTAAAATTGAGAAAAGAATAAATTTATAGAAATGAGAATTTGTTAAAAAAGAAATAAAAATATTAGTGGAAAAAAAATTTAGTAGTTTTGTATATAAATTTTTTATGAAGCATTAAACTTATATGATTTTAGTCTTGTATACATTAACGCAATATATTTAATTTTCTAAATATTAAAATTATATACTTTGAATTACTTCCTTTAAACATTAATTAATTATATATATATATATATATATAATAATTGTATAATGCGAAATATAATTAAGATATGATAAATAAATCAAAAAATTATTATTATAATTGTAATAATTGTTGAGTAAATCTGTAAGATAATTTAAGTTTAATGCTAGAAAATAATTTTATACGACATAAATCAATTAAATATTTAAAAATGTCAATTTTAAATAGTAAGATAAAAAATCATATTTTTACATATGAATTACTGTGTATTAGTTATGGAAAATAAATGTTTTAAAGATTTTGAACTATATATTGATAATATTTAAATTGTGTAGTATAAGTTTATAAGAGATAAACTTAAATATAAAAATAAATTATAATAGTAGTATCAATTGGTTGTTCTACAACCTTATGATAGTTGCCAAATGAGAAGACTATAAGAGTGTGAACTTCGACAATTTATTTGTGATGTGCAAATTTATTTATTTTGTATATATATGTTGCATTGTGCGGTTTGGTTGAGTTTGAGGGTGGTCGACCTTCGGCATATTTAAATTGTGTGTGATTTGGTTATGTATATTGGAAGTATTATTATCAATGAAAAATGTTTTTTTATTAGTTAATGAGAGTTATAATTAAGGTCTAGGGTTTACTTCTTAGTTAAATATAATTAAATTATTAAATTTGGTATTTAGAAATAAATTTTCATATGGCAGACAAAAACATCGAGATCATTGGTTTAGACAATGATGATATTGAAAATGGTTTGGATATAAACATAATTTCACATATACAAAATGAGATAAAAAAGCGAAGCGAAATAGGAGCGATGACAATTCTTTGTCTAATAGCTTATGGTTAAATATGTTGTCTATGATAATTTGTAGTAACAATAACATTAGGGACTTTATTTCTAAAAAAGAATGTCGTTAGCACGAGTTGATGTCATACATTATTCATACTGAACAATCTCGTGACATTATTCGCATGGGACAGGAGGCGTTCATTAACTTATGTCAACGAGTAAGGGAAACTGAATTGGTAAACGATGGGTTACAATCAACAGTCGAAGAACAAGTGACTAAATTTTTCCATATTATCGGACATAACGTTAAAAATCGAATTGTTTCATTTTTCTTCTATCGATCGGGTGAAACCGTTAGTCGACACTTGCATAACATGTTAAATGCGATGATAATGTTGGAGGAACAATTAATTGTTCAACCATCAGGAAAGGATGTGTGTCCGTATATATTAAACAACAACCGATTTTACCCATACTTTAAGGTAATCTACTAACCAACTTTGTGTCTATATAACATACGCATAGATTGTCTAAACTTTAATAACAATAATTTTTTTTTACCAATTAAGATTGTTTAGGGGCAATAGATGGAACTCATGTTCGAGTTAAAGTCACAAGATCCGATGTCCCTCGTTTTCGTGGAAGAAAAGATTGGCCAACACAAAACGTATTTGCAGCTTGTGATTTCAACATGAAATTCACATATATTCTAGCAGGGTGGGAAGGAACAACATCTGATTCAAGAATATTAAAAGATGTTCTTACGAGAAAGGATTGTCTTATCATACCACAAGGTTTATTATTTATAACGTGAAGATTTTGTGTATATCCAGTTTAAATATTCTAATCAATATAACTTCAATGATTTTAAATAGGTAAATACTACTTGGGGGATGTTGGATTTATGTTAAAAGCAAACATAATGACCCCTATCGAGGTGTTAGATACCATCTTAAAGAATATTCTCGACGAGCTTCACAAAATCCCCGAGAATTGTTTAACCATCGACATTCGTCTCTTAGAAATGTAATTGAAAGAACATTTGGAGTTTTGAAGAAAAAATTTCCTATAATAGCTAGTGGAACAGAGCCTCATTATTCATTTGATACAATGACGAATATAGTCCTAGCATGTTGCATTTTACACAATTTTCTTCGAGGGGTAGACAACGATAAATCACTGTGTTAGCTGAAGTGGATCGAGAGTTGATGGAACATGATGTGGATAACATGTCGACTCAAGTTCTGGAAGAGGATTATAAGGAATGGTCAAACTTAAGAGATGCTATAGCAAATCAAATGTGGATAGAATATTAAAGTGATTAGATTTTGTATGTAACAATATATTTAATGAGATATACTATTGTTATTGTTGAAATATGGTTAAATTACGATTATCCATTTATAATAATTATATGTTGGTACCGTAATTACATATATTGTCTTTCCAATAGGTTTAAAATGAACAGAGGAAATGATATTGCACTGGATGTGTCAACTGTAGTGCGCGAGTTTACAAAATGGACTGATGACATGGACTTTCGGTTGTTGACTGCTATGCTTAATGAGGCAAGGTTGGGTAACCAGGTTGATGGTAGTTGGACAACCCAAGCATATAATAATATGGTTGAATCCCTAAGACAGTCTGGATTAATTAGTATAACTAAAAATAATGTTAAAAATCGACAAAAAAGTCTTAAGGATAGATGGCGGGAGGTTCACGATTTGTTTCATGGACTTAGTGGATTCGCTTAGGATGATATCACAAAACAGTTTATGGCTGAGCAAGAAGTATGAGATAACCTGATCAAGGTACTATTATATGAATTATCATTTGTTGATATAGCAAAATATAGCAATTACGAGTGTTAACCATTCTCATTAATTTGTAGGCGAAACCTTCTGCAGCTAAATGGAGACTGGCAACCATAAAGTATTATGATTTGATGGAAGAATTGTGGGGTATTGATCGAGCCACTGGGCATATGGCAAGAACTTCGTGTCAGTCCCGGAGGAATATTAGTTCTTGAAGGGCAATGGTCGACTTGAACGTTGATGTGGATCCCACACTAGAGGAGCAGCCATTTGACTTTGGCTTTGATGCAAGATTTGATACAACTTATCGATCACCTCCACGCATGGGTTATGACAGTCTTGCTGAGGGTGTTCAGTCAATGTCATCAGTTGCGTCTACTGGTTCAGGTGGAACCTCTTCATCTCTAGGCACAAAAAGAAAAGTGTTTATGGTTGATGTGATGGAAGGTCAATTTGACAAACTAACAACGAGGCTGAACACATCTATAGATTACCTTGCCCAAGGTAATACATTGACCTAACGATTATCTGACATAGCTGAAAGACAGGTGGTCGCCATTGAACGTAGAAATGATTTAATTAATGAGCAAGTTAATGTGATGAGGCGATCATTAACATTTCAACATTCCGAGTCAGATATATGGGACATGTTAGTTGGCATGAACCTAAATGACGAACAACTTATGCTTAAGTGTTATAATCATTTGTGTATTCACAAATCACATGTTAGACGACTTTTTGGCTTGACCCCACATCTTCGTCTCTCCCAGTTGTTCATATTCTTGGGTGGAAGTGATTGAATGGTCTGCTATAAAGATCTGAAAATGCTTTAAGATTCATTCAGGAACTCTTCGATCATAATGAATTTGGTAGACCTACTCCACAAACATTTCGACGAGATACTGCTATTAAAGTACATTCTGACGAGGAAACTTCTGACCTCGAGAATTTGACTACGGAGGATCAAGAACATTATAATTATTTGTTTGAGAAATATTAGTATACATAGGTTTATAATTTTAGTAATGTTTATCAAATATCTAATGTCTATATTAATTAATATTATTTGATAATCAAAATTTATGAGACGTAATTCTAAAATCTATAAATATATATATATATATATATATATATATATATATATATATATTTTTAATTCTATGTTGAAAGTATAAAAATATGACAAAAATATATATTAATATAATTTTTAACTAAATAGTAAATATTTGTACTATTAAGTTTACATGAAATTTTTATTTAATTATTATTCTATTTTCACTATATTTTATATTTATTTAAAATAATAATTTACAATTATATTATTAGTTGTCATAATTATTTATTATTATTAGTCAATATTAATTATTATTTTTTAATTTATAATCATTTAATTATTAGTCAAATAATTTGTTTAATATGTCAAAATTATGTTTTTATGTATATGTAGTGTAAATAATTTTGTAATTGTTTATTTATAAAAATTTTAATAACTATTTTAAAAAGTTTTAATTTTGTAAATTTTTTTCCACGTACAGTGTAAAAAAATTATTATTTTTTTCTTCCAAATACACAATGAAAGTTAAAATGCAGGTAGTTATTAAAAAATTACATTTATAATAATTTTAACCTTATTTTATACATAAGGGTAAAATGATAATTTTATCAAATAATCAATTAAATTATAATTTTTATATCTCATATCAATCAAATCATTCACAATTTCTCATACTTTCCCTTCACTTTCTATTCATCCAAACAATTTTAATTTTCCTTCTATTTCTCTTCAAATCCCTTATTTTCTACTCCCCAATTCCACTCTCTCAAATCATTCCCACCAAACAATGCATTAGTATATGTATAAAAGGACAACACTTATATGTGAATTTAAGAACCTATCATGCATGCAAATCTTAAACTTATGTAAAATTTCTTAAAAAAAAAGCACACATGATCTATAAGATGTTTTCGTAAGAAAGCATTTCTT